GGGAACCCGCTCAGTTCCTACTCTATCACAGAGTCTCTGGGAAGAATTCCTAAGTAGAGGGGGGAAGGGTGCATTGAGCAGCATCCATAACGACAAAGATCTCAAAGAACCAGTTACTGCCCAAACTGATTAACTTCCTCCTCCTCTTCAAGTAGTGCTCCACTGTAAGTCATTCTCAAGAAGTACTGCCAATGGGAAGCTCGGGCCTCCAGCCTCACTCCAGCCTCACTCCTGGGGAGCCCGCTGCCACTCTGTGCTGCTGCCTCTGTATCAGAGGCAGCAGCACAGAGTGCCAGGTGGGAGCTGGTCCACAAAAGGAGCCAGTTTAAAACCCAGCTCCCCTCGCGGACTGACTGTCTGTCACCCTGTGCTGCTGCCTCTGATAAAGAGGCAGCAATGCGGGCTGGCAGCAGCCCCTGTCTAGGGGGGGATCTGAGCTCCTGGACCCGGCACAAGCCAGAACTGAGCTTGGTGGCCTGCCCACCTGCCTCCTAATACACTTTAAATGCAGAGCCACAGCAGGTATAGGTCCTGGACCTGTCATGAGTCAGGACTAAGCCGGGCAGCTGACCAGCCTGCTAAAAAAATTTACTGGCAAGGAAGATGGGAGGGAAATGGGTGTAGCCTATAGCATTAACCGATAAGTGTTGGCTTATCGGTTAATCGAGTATATATTACATCTGTAGTTCAAAGGCAGCCTGGTTTGGTGAAGATTCCCATCTTCTGGATGAATCTTGATTGGGGGGGAGGGATCTAAAGATAGAGAGCTGCCCCCATTATAAATTGTTGATAAAATTACAACCATGGATACAATCCTCTCCACACTTCTGGGCTGTGTCTACATTGGCATCCCTTTCCGGAAAAGGGATGCTAATGAGACACATCGCAATTGCAAATCTGCGGGGGATTTAAATATCCCCCGCGGCATTTGCATTTACATAGCTGCCGCTTTTTTCTGGCTTGGGGATAAGCCGGAGGAAAGCGCCAGTCTAGACATGATTCTCCGGAAAATAAGCCCTTTTCCGGAGGATCTCTTTCAAGTAGGAATAAGAGATCCTCCGGAAAAGGGCTTATTTTCTGGAGAATCACGTCTAGACTGGCGCTTTTCTCCAGCTTATCCCCAAGCCGGAAAAAAGCGGCAGCCATGTAAATGCAAATGCCGCAGGGGATATTTAAATCCCCCGCGGATTTGCAATTGCGATGTGTCTCATTAGCATCCCTTTTCCGGAAAGGGATGCCAATATAGACACAGCCCTGGGGAATATGGTTTTCCATGTGGCAATAGACACACTATGAAGCTAACATGAGGAAAGGAGTTCAGGAAAGCTGGCTGTATTTTAAAGTCTTATTGAGGGTGCAGGAATGTACCATCTTGATACGCAGAAAGAATAGCAAAGCTGACAGGCGACCAGCTTGGTGTAATAGGTAAGTCTTTGGTTAGCTTCAAAATAAAAAGAAAGCTTACAAGAAGTGGAAACTTAGATGATTAGGGAGGAGTATAAAAAAATATTGGTTGTGCATGTAAAGGTGTAATCAGGTAGGCCAAAGCGCATCTGTATTTGCAGCTAGTAATGGAAGTGAAGAACAACAAGAAGGGTTGTTATAAATATCTTAGCAATAAGAAGGTGGTTAGGGAAAGTGTGGGACCCTTACTGAATGGGGGAGAAAACCTAGTAACAGATGATGAGGAAAAAGCTATTTTGCCTGGGTCTTTATAGACAAGATCAGCTCCCAGACTGCTATATTGGTCACAACAACGACGCTGATGGTTGCATTTGACACCACAGAGGAGGGCACAGGTCCCTGCCACTGGTGGTAAGCCCACGGCATCCAGAAGGGCCACTGTGGTTGGGGCGGCCAAGTCTGCTGCACCCGCAAACGATCACGTCAGTGCCGGGAACGGGACCTATGAGCTGAGGAAGCTCCCGAGTACTCCGACCTGAATGATGCCGCATCAGAATCCGACGAGTAGTCAGACTCTGACCAGGGAGGCGCAGATGACGAATGTCCTGTCACCGATGGAGGGGCAAACCTGGCCATGGACTCGGGTTTGCCTGCGAGTGCCCGATGAGGGCGTGCCAGCACCGGGAAGACCGGTCCCGGTGCCGTTAGTGGTGCCTGTTGCAGCACCGGGAGAACAGGTCCCGGTGCTGGGAGTGGAGTTGGTTGTGGAACCGGGAAAACAGGTCCCGGTTGCGGTGCCGACATAGAGCATGGCTGCGTTGCAGAAGCTGGTACCGGTTGTGAGACGAACCCCGAAGAAGCCGACGTCACCATCGACGGCGGTACCGGCAAGGTCCACAGTTAGTGTCTCCTTTGGGCATAAACTTTATGCAGACAGCGCACGCCTTAAAACCTTGTGGCCCTGGCATGCCTCATCCCCGAAGGGGAGGAACGGCACCCCGGAAAGCTGCTCAACGCCTGCGTCGATGATGACGGTGCCGTAGACATTGCCACAAGCACCAAGCACCAAGGAAGGTCGAGTTCAGTGCCGGGTGAAGCCTGGTGGCCTGCGTTGAGATCGGCACTGATGAGGAGGCAGGCGGTACTGGTCCCACGGGACGGTCCCGCTGCATAAGTAGCCGGAGCTGTCCAGTCATGCTGGTGCAGAGGCGAAGCCAGAGCCAACACAGCCTCCGGCGTATGCGACCTCGACCCTTCCGCTTCAACCGATGACGGAGGGGAGGTAGTGAGGCTAATGAGGTCCTGTGCCGCCTCAAAGGTGTCTGGCGTGGAAGGGCGGTGCGAGGGTAGTTGCCCTGGACTGGACGGACATCCCGCTCGCTTATGCCACACCATGGAGGATGAGGACGTGTGCACCTGTGACTCGGCACCGCGGTGTAGGCTCGACTTGGATTTCCGGCTAGGAGACCTACCACGTTCTTGACCTCTTCGGTAACGGAGAGTGAGACCGGTGCCGGGCCCTCGAGGCCCGGCCTCGGGATGGAGCATCTCGTATGGACGCTAGTGCACTGCGCACTGCAGAGTGCCCAGCCGTTGACGGCTGTAAAGCCGCCTCCATGAGGAGAAGTTTTAGACGAGAGTCTCTCTCCCTCTTAGTGCGCGGCTTAAAAGACTTGCAGATCTTACAGGTGTCTGTAAGATGGCCCTCACCCAGACACTTCAGACAACTGTCGTGAGGGTCTCCTTTGGGCATGAACTTTGCGCAGACAGCGCACGCCTTAAAACTTTGCGGCCCTGTTTTTTCCTTCTCCCCCTTCGGGGGTGAGGAATGTCAAAGAGACACTAACTATCTAACTAATTGAACTATTTAGAAATATCTACAATGCTAAGAGAAACGGGAACCATTAACTGATCTAAGAGAGAGAGACACGCTCCAATGACCGTCACGGGCGATAAGAAGGAACTGAGGTGGGGCAGCGCCGGCAGGGGCACTTATGCCCCGCCATGGCGGCACCACTCCAGGGGGGGCGCCCTGTGGGCGCTACGGATACTGCTAGGGAAAACGCTCCGGAAGACGCGGTGCACGCGGTGCGCACACCTAATTCGAATGGACATGAGCAACCACTCGAAGAAGAATCTGAGAAACTACAGACTGGTCAACCTCACCTCAGTCCCTGGAAAATTATGGAGCAGATTCCTTGAGGACCTATCTTGAAGCACTTGGAGGAGATCAACAATCAACATGAATTCTCCAAAGGCAAATCATGTCTAACCAACCTGACTGCCTTCAATGATATAACTATTGGCTTGTGGATATGGGGAAGGCAGTGGATGTGATATACCTTGACTTTAACAAAGCTTATGATATGCGTTGTGAGCAAGACACGAGAACTCATTCTTCCGCTCTACTCTGTGCTGGTTAGGCCTCAATTGGAGTACTGTGTTCAGTTCTGGGCATCACATTTCAAGAAAGATGTGGAGAAATTGGAGAGGGTCCAGAGAAGAGCAACGAGAATGATTAAAGGTCTAGAGAACATGACCTATGAGGGAAGGCTGAAAGAATTGGGTTTGTTTAGTTTAGAAAAGAGAAGATTGAGGGGGGACATGATAGCAGTTTTCAGGCATCTAAAAGGGTGTCATAAGGAGGAGGGAGAAAACTTGTTCATCTTGGCCTCTGGGGATAGAACAAGAAGCAATGGGCTTAAACTGCAGCAAGGGAGGTTTAGGTTGGACATTAGGAAAAAGTTCCTAACAGTCAGGGTGGTTAAACACTGGAATAAATTTCCTAGGGAGGTTGTGGAATCTCCATCTCTGGATATATTTAAGAGTAAGTTAGATAAATGTCTATCAGACAGTATTTGGTCCTGCCATGAGGGCAGGGGACTGGACTCGATGATCTCTCGAGGTCCCTTCCAGTTCTAGTATTCTGTGATTCTATGGTCTCCCATTGTATTTTTTCTAGCAAGTTAAAGAAGTATGGCTTCAAGGAATGGATTATAAGGTGGCTAGACTGTTGGGCTCAAAGGCAGTAATCAATTACTTGATTTCTAGTTGACAACCGATATCAAGTGTAGTGTCAAAGGTATCAGCTCTGGGGCCAGTTTTATTCAACACATTCATTAATGACCTGGATGGTGAGTTGGATTTTTCCCTCAGCAAGTCCGCAGATAACACTAAGCTGGGGGGAGAGGTAAATATGCTGCAGAATAGAGATAGGGTCCAGAATGACCATGATAAATTGGAGGATTGGCCAAAAGAAATCTGATGAGGTTCAACAAAATTAAGTGCCGAGTGGGGAAAAACCCAATTTCCATTTAGATCATTACCATCCATAAGCATTTTAATTATATGAAAAACTTTGAAAACTGCTACCTCGAATGTAACGTTAGTATCAAAAGGTGAGGAGAATTATGAGTAATTGATTAATTCAAATTTTAAATCCCTTTCTCTCTTTCAAGAAGAGCACAAATGAAATATATATCTGAATATAATAGGAAAGGGTGAACAATAAAAGATGAAATAAAATCCAGAAGAAAGTGCTAGTTGGAAAGAGGCATTCAGTTAGACTATTTAGGAAAATTAGAAAAAACAAATACCTGCAATGAACAACTACTGGTTCTTCTCTGCCAGCCCTCTTTTTTCGTACAAGACACACAAAATCCAGGAAGTCACTGGAATCATCAGGAACCCCATGGTCAGGCCATGCTACATACTGGATCTGGGTGAGCTGACGGGTTTCATTTTTCTAATTAGAAACATAAAATTTGTTCAAATGTAATCAAAACTTCCAAATAAAAGCCACTGATAATCAAATATACGCCTATAATTACATCTCAAAGCACACTTTATCAATACTAATTACTGGCCAACACATATTTTAGAATCCTATTAGGGATATAATATCCCATTAATTGGTTAATAGGTCAAACATTATGTTTAACCAGTTAACTGACTAAAGGGAGGGGGGTGCTCCAGCTCAGAACTGCTCTGGCCAGCCGGTCTGGGCAGCCCCTGCCTGTGGTGTGGAGGCAGGGGGCAGAGGGAAAGCCAGGCCTGCCATAGAGAGGGGTTGCTCTGTCCAGTTGGAGCAGTCCCTGCCTGAAGTGGTGCTGCCTGGGCCAGACTTGTCACAGACAGAACAGCCTCTGCCCACGGCGGTCGGGGAGCTGCTCCATTCCCTACCAGCTAACTGGAACCCTTTAAGGGTGAGACTTACTGGTTAACCACTCTTCATTCTATTTGTGCTTATAATCAATAATAAAAAGGCACTAATATGTCTTTGTAAGAAATGTAAAAAGTACATCTCTAGAACAGGCACACTATGACTTTGGCTTTTCTGCTGAAGTCTGTTTTAGAGTTACCTAAATCTTTTCAACCCACTCCATCGGTCTAGGAAACATTCTGGGGAAACTGTCTTACTTTGTTATTTGTCTGTATAACGCCCAGGACAAAGAGCCCTTGATCCCTGACTAGCATTCCTAGACATTACCATAATATAAATACAATGCATTAGAAATGGGTTGGAATACATTTCTAAAATTCACTACCAAAGTGCACTGTAAAATCAACATGAGCAATCTGTACAGAAATACATAAAGTATATAAGAATGGCCATACTGGGTCAGACCAAAAGTCCATCTAGCCCAGTATCCTGTCTGCTGACAGTGGGCAATACCAGATGCCCCAGAGGGAGGGATCACAATAGATCCCCACATGATCCCTTCCGTCACCCACCTCCAGAGAAACAGAGGCTAGGGACACCATTCCCACCCATCCTGGCTAATAGCCATTGATGAACCTAACCTCCATGAATCTATCTAGCTCATTTTTGTATCCTGTTAAAGTTCTAGCCTTCACTGCATCCTCTGGCAAGGAGTTTCACAGGTTGACTGTGCGCTGAATGAAGAAAAATTTCCCTTTCCTTCCTGTTGCCTATTAATTTCATTTGGTGACCCCTAGTTCATTTATTGTAGGAATAAGTAAATAACTTTTCCTTATTCACTTTTTCCATACCAATCATGATTTTATAGCCCTCTATCATATCCCCCCCCTTAGTCTCCTCTTTTCTAAGCTGAAGAGTCCAAGGCCCACGAAAGCTCATCATCTAATAAACCATCTTGTTAGTCTTTAAAGTGCTACATAGTCCTGTATTTTGTTTCAAGTCTTTTTAATCACTCTTCATATGGGACCCGTTCCAAACTCCTAATCATTTTTGTTGCCCTTTTCTGAACCTTTTCCAATGCCAATATATCTTTTTTGAGATGAGGCAACCACATCTCTACGCAGTATTCAAGATGTGGGTGTACCATGGTTTTATACAGAGGCAATAAGGTATTTTTTGTCTTATTCTCTATCCTTTTTTGGAATGATTCCAAACATTCTATTTGCTTTTTTGACAGCCGCTGCACACCGAGTGGATGTTTTCAGAGAACTATCCACAATGACTCCAAGATCTTTCTCTTAAGTAGTTGTAGCCAAATTAATCCCCATCATATTGTATTATATTGTTGGGATTATTTTTTCCAGCGTGCATTACTTTACATTTATCAACATTAAATTTCATTTGCCAATTTGTTGTCCAATCAGATAGTTTGGTGAGGTCTTTCTGAAGCTCTTCACAGTCTACTTTGGTCTTAACTATTTTGAGCAGTTTGGTATCATCTGCAAATTTTGCCACCTTGCTGTTTACCCCTTCTCTAGATTATTTATATATAAATTGAATACGATTGGTCTCAGGACAGACTCTTGGGGGACCCCACTAGTTACCTCTCTCCACTCAGAAAATTTATCGTTTATTTCTACTCTTTGTTTCCTGTCTTTTAACCAGTTATCAATCCACGAAAAGACGTTCCCTCTTATCCCATGACAACTTACTTTACTTAAGAGTCTTTGGTGAGGAACCTTGCCAAAGGCTTTCTGGAAATCTAAGTATACTATATCCTCTGCATCCTCCTTGTCCACAAATCTGTTGACCCCCTCAAAGAACTCTAGCAGATTCATAAAGCATGATTTCCCTTTACAGAAACCATGTTGCCTTTCTCCCAACAAATTATGTTCATCCATATATCTGACAATTTTCCTATTATATTTTTACACTTAATTTGACAATGTTTATGGCCATTTCTATTTTCCTCACTAGGATCTGACTTCCTCTTTTTAAAAGATATCTTTTTATCTCTCACTGCTTCTTTTATCTGGTTAAGCCAAGCCATGGTGGCACTTTTTTGGTTCTCTTACTGTGTTTTTTAATTTGGTGTATACATTTAAGTTGAGCCTCTATTATGGTATATTTGAAAAGTTCCCATGCAGCTTGCAGAGATTTTACTTTTGTCACTTTACCTTTTACCATATATCAGATCAACAAAGAAGCAAGGAGACATTATTGTAATTAGAGATGTAAGCATCTAGTCGACTACCCGATAAGCATGTGCTTATCGGGTAGTCGAGTAGTGACTCGACTAGTTGCTTCCCCCCCCCCCAACCCTCCCTGCCTCTGTCAGACTCAGGCAGACATAGGCAGTCCACTGTCAGACACAGGCAGCAATGGGGGGGAGCAGGAGCTGGTGCTGGAGGAAGGCGGTTTAAAAGCCGGTTCCCGACAACACCATCTGGGGGGGGCAGAGGAAGCAGAGGCATAGCTGGGTCCGGGCGTGAACTGGGTTATCAGCTGATTCCTGGCTTGCTCCCAGTCCCAGACGCTGGGCCTCTGCTTTTTAGATGTATTAAAAAGCAGAGGCCTAGTGTGGGAGACCAGGTGGGAGCCAGGAATCAGCTGATTCCCAGCTTGCAGCTGGTCCACCTGCTATGCCTCTGCCTTTTAAATATGTTAAGAGCGTAGTAGGTCCCGGGAGCTAAACCCCACTGCAGCTCTGCAGTTTTCCCCCTTATCAACTAATACAATAGTTTTTAACATGATTAGCTGATTACATGCAATTTAATATATTTAATTATAATAATACATAAGAAAAAATCACTTTTAAAATGCAGAAATACGCTGAAAAGTCACTTTCTAAAAATAAGACTATGGGTTGCATTTTTGCTACGCCTTAATGGCAGATCACATTTTTCCAGTTTTAAATTGAAAAGATTTTTTTCCCACTAATACCCAGTATCTGATAGTTAGCTATGGGTTTTTTTGTTTTTGTTTTCTTTTGGCGGGGGAGGGGCACAGGGAGAGGAGCTCACACATCATTAGAAATAAAAGGCTCTGTAACAAAAGTTTAATTATTCTGATGTGTTCCAGAATAGAATCTAGCTAACACATTCTCAACTCTGCTGGCTTTGCAGGACTAACAAGGAACATATATTTTTGCATATGCTCAGGGATCAAACCTGTTGAATAAGGAGGTATTTTTGTGCTCTCTTTTCTAACCTTAACCACAACGGGTAGCCTAAAATTATTATAATTTCTAATGTAAATTAAAAAAAAAAAATCAGGAAATTAGGAGAGCCACGTGTGTGGAAAATAAACATGACCTGGTGAAAGTGGACTGCAGTCAGTGGTAGAAACTCTATCTATATGAGAGAAAACTGAAATAACAGGAGGAAGGGGAGTGTGTGGAAAAGGCAAACGGGGAAGGAAAAGGGCTATGCAAGCAGATGGGTGATGGAAATAGAAAGAGAGGGACAATTAGATCGGGAGAACCTGAATGTATCCGACTATAAACATCTGCAGCTATATGTGGTATACACCAGGGTGTGAAAGACTACTGAAATGTAGAGAGATTGGCCAGTAGTGGAACAGGAGAAGCAGCTATATAGTAGGAATATTTCAGCCTTCTGAAATACTAGGTAGTTTCTGATACAATAATTAAATGCTCAGTCAGGGTTTCAGAGTTACATTTTAATTTATAACATAGTTAAGCTCTTATTACATAAAAAGTACTATAAAACATACAGTAACCAAGATGTCCTCCAAAGTCTATAAGCCTAGCCACAACTTTGTTTTCTACCCTTACCTTATTTGATTTATTGAAGGCCTTCCCCACACAAACACGTCAGATGCCTGCTAGACCAAAGAAACACTAAAAATATTGCAAAAGCGACGAGGAGTCCTGTGGCACCTTATAGACTAACTGAAGTGTAGGAGCATAAGCTTTCGTGGGCAAAGACCCACTTCGTCAGATGCAGGACTCCTCGTCGCTTTTGCAGATACAGACTAACACGGCTACCCCTCTGATACTAAAAATATTGTCAGATTTCTTCAGCTTTAGGAGGACTATGGGTAGGCCTCAAACCCTAAAATTTTGGAAGATACTGCTATATTACATCTTCAGATTCTTGTAACCCTAGACTTCTCAAAAAAGAAAAATACAACTGTTCCCTTTTTGTGAAATTACACCATAACAGCCATTTGACTAACAGCCTCCATTAACTATGACGTAATTTCTCTTAGGATAATCTTATTCTTTCTGATGTCGTTCTATGACATATTATTCACTTTTATGTATAACATACTGTTTAGAACACTGGAAGAATAGACCTAGTCTATGAGTAAGAGCCCTGCAAATCTGCAGACATCCACTGTTCATTTTTGCAGTTGCAGATGCAGAAGCAGGTACAAAATAGCTTGTATCTACACAAGGCTCTATGAGAAGTTTTACAGATAACTGACTGTTCTTGATAATTCAGCCTAAGGAACCAACATTAACTAATGCAAAGAGTACAGTTAACAGAAGATTTTGGTTAGTTGGGGAATCACACAGTTCAATGTTTTAAAAGACTGCTGTGCCCCCTGCTCACTACGCTCGTCAACCCCCTCTGTCTGCTGCAGCCGGATGATGGCCTCTCCTCCTACCTGTGCCGCAGTGGGGTGGGGGAGGGCGCCACCAGCCCTTTCTCTGTCCAAATGGGTGCTGAATCACAGGGCCTACCCCAGGATTGGGGCTGGGGAAAGGATGCTGCAGCCAGAAGGGGGCTGGGTCCCGATTGGGGCCTTGTTGGCCAGGTTTCATTTTAAATCAAGTAAAATATGTCCAACACAAAGAAATTTCAACATTTTTATGGCAAGAGTGAGAAACCTTTTTTAGGTCAGGGACTACTGACCCACAGAAAAATCAGTTAGGGATCACATGTGGGAAGGAAAAAAAGCCCCTCCAAAAACCCCCTACCCTCACTGATGTGGCCCCCAACTGAGACACTTCACTTCCCTGATACTCCAGCACTATGGGGTGGGAGGCGGGATTGAGGTTCAAGGCCTCAGGACAGATTAATTCTTCTGGGGTTCCATGGTTAGTGGATTTTGTGGGCCCCCTAAGCTATGGGGTAGGGCCAATAATGGGTTCAGTGTGTGGGACAGGGCTGCCAGAGAGTGGGATAGGAATGGGGGTGCAGGATCTGGGCAAGAGGTAGGATGCAGGAGGGGCTAAGGGTGCAAGTTCAGGGTGGGAAGTTGGGTGCAGGAGCAGGCTGGGGGAGGGTGTCTGGCCAGGAGGGAGGGTACAGGAGCAAGAAAGGGTGAAGGAACAGGCTGGGGGTGCGGTTTCTGGGTAGAGGGCAGGAGCCGGGGAAGAGGCAGGAGTGAGCTGACAGGTGGCTTTGTTGTAGCTGAACAGTGTCCAGGTAGGGAGCCTATGCGAAGATGGAGCCTGTGGACACAAAGTGACATGATGACATCACTCTGTCGTCCCACAGGAAAAAAATTTATATATATAAAAATATGCACACACACGCGCGCGCGCACACACAGAGGTGATCACCTGCATTCTGAATTGCACCTGGAAATGAAAAAGCAACCAGTGAATAACTCTGAGCACAGATGCTATAGTGCTTACTGGGATAAACTCTTTACTTAAGGGGTGAGAAATGGAAGCCTAACTTTTCTGTCATTAGGTGATAAGTGTCAAAATTATAGATAACGTATTTTGACTAAATTTGGAAGAACGGGGGGGGGAGGGGATAGCTCAGTGGTTTGAGCATTGGCATTTAGGAATCTGGGGCAAAAATCTGTCAGGGATGGTACTTGGTCCTGCTGTGAAGGCAGAGGACTGGACTCGATGACCTTTCAAGATCCTTTCCAGTTCTAGGAGATAGGCATCTCCATTCATTTCATTTCTTAACTGTAACCATTTCACCTCAAACAGAGCCATGTTTGAAAACATTCATCTTCTCTTGTTTTCCAAGTTACTAGGAATTAGTAATACTGCAAATCCTTTTTCCTCAAGTTAATACACGAAGGATACTTTTATCTGTAACCATAGTTTTTTGTAACATGTATTCCCATAATTTAGAATTGCCCTCATATATTTTGCCACCATATATCAAAAACACAAGCTTTAATTTAAAAATATGAAGCTTAAAGCTTTAGAATTATCTTGGACTTAACAATTCTTTGATAATTAACACTCATCTCGTATGACTGATGTATTGCGCTGTATCCATTAACAACCAGATTAAATCTCTATCCAATTCTCTGAAAAGATGCCACTAAAACTTTGTGAACAAAAGGTATGTACTGTATTCATCTTATAAATATTTCCGAAAGTAAAATATTTGTCCCAAAAGATCTCTGAAACTGTAAGAGCTAGAAACACCAAATTTTGCACGGATACTACTAATTTCCTAACTTAAATACCTGGATTGGTTCCATCTCGAAATCGGTTCCCCTGGAGCCCCAATTGGGCCCACTGATAATTAGCTTTTAGTAGTGCCTGATCATAGAAACACAAAATTTTGCACGGATACTACTGATTTCCTAACTTCAATAACTGGATTGGTTATATCTCGAAATTGGTTCCCCAGAGCCCCAATTGGGCCACTAATTAGCTTTTAGTAACACCTGATCATAGGCATTTGCTGGACTTTTATGTGTGCCACGTAAACTTCAACTACGAGATCTTTTCCCTATAACAGAAAAAGTACTAGCTATGTTAATTTCTTAAAATAATGTACAAGAGAAACGTATTTCCAATAAAATATGCTATGTTAATGTCATTGACGTAGTTCATTCATCACACCTTTTACTATATTTTACCCAGGCGACACTACTAGTAAAAAATAAAATACTTAACACAAAATAAGATTTTACAAATAGAGAAAAATCTAATTTTCTATAGGATTTTAAAATGATCTATTAAATAAATACACTGAATAGTCTAACATGTGGACGTGCTTTAAAAATGGAAAGCATGTCCACAGTTAGGTAATTCTACTTTGAGGATTCCACAGAATTTGAATAAGTATAATATAGTTTTACCTCAAGGTTAGTCAATGTCATCTCTCTGAAGACATAAGCAGGATTTCCTTCCTCTGAATGGCAGGCAATCTGGAAATTACCATATGATGAGCTTCCTGTAGGCTCTGGCCAGTACTGATGGCACTTAACCTGAAGTCAAGAGATTTTCAAAGATGAAAGCCTTTAGAATCAGAATGTTATTTTCCCTCCTTTCAGGATTCAACAAAGTTCCCTTCTGAGGACGTTGTAATTACACTAACTTGGTTACTGAACATACAGTATCTGTTTATAACTGAAAATGTGCTATTAGCTGTGTAACTGATATAAAAATTCAAATGAGCATAACTGATATTAGCCCTAAGCAGATGAATACACTTAGCTACTTTCAACTATTTTGCTCTTATGACATAATCAAAGGACCAAATGCAAGAAACTCCATGCATATCTGAGGGCAAAATATGGTTTAAATTAACATTGCAGGATGTGCAGTTGCCATTCACCTTGCAGGTAACAAGCTTTTCATCTGATCTAGCTATGTAAGTATTATATTATTTCCTTCACACAGGCACCAACTCTTGAGTTTAGTGTAATTGAATAGTGATGCCTTAAATTTTGATAGTATTTCTTTTTAAGTATCCACTAAATGTTCCATTTTGACACTGTAGTGATAGCTGCTACCTGAGATCCACATCTAAGTTCTAAAATCCTACAACAATCCTTCCTTAAGGCAGATTTATATGAAAAAGAAAACACATTGCTATAGTGTGAAAGGAGGAGATGGCCAGTAACCAATGACTAAGACTGCTTCATTGTTGGACAAAATAAGATGTTAGGGTGGTGGGTTTACTAACAGTCTTTATAGTTAAATGGAAACTTTAAAGACAACCAACTTTATGACAAACTGCTTAAATGCCCAAATATAAAGAGAGGATATTTCAGTTCATGAATACATTTTATCTTGCTAACCCACCTGTAAGAGCAGCCATATCTGCAGACTTCCTGCTCTACTGAGACACTTGGTATGCAGTGGGACAATGGTATCAGTAGCCCCATGCTCAGCATTGGAGCAGGGAGTCTGGTGATGGGTATAAGATAAAGTCCTTTTATTTCAATATTTAGCAACTCCCCAAAAATTCTATAAATACCAATATTAAAAAACCTTAGAGAACTGCTATTGTGGATCTGTTCTTAATAGATCAGCAAAGAAAATGAAATAAAACTAAAAGGGGACTTGAACTAGAATTCCCTCTAAATATGTCATTTGGGAGCACATAGTATCATATAGTAAAACTGATTCACTGTAAAATAATAAAAACATTAATACACCTAACATTTTAATACCATATATTCTTGTTTATAAGCCCACTGTGAAGAGCGGGGGTTGGTTTATAAACTGATCAGCATAAACAGTGAACGGCAGTGACTGGAAGTCAGATCCCAATCACTGCCAATTGCCATTTCGGGGTAAGGGGAGCGATGGGAAGCAGCAGCCAGTACATCCCTTGGCCCATGCTGCTGCCTCAGTTCCTACCCCCTTCATCCCCTGCCCACACAGAGAGGGGGCTCAAACAGCCAAAGGCAGCTCCTGCCCCAGCACTCTGCCAATGGCTGGGCTCAGAGCCCTGGAGAAGGAAAAAACATCAAAGAAATGGAAAAGATACATTCCGCCAGGTGATTCTCGCTTGGGGCTCAACATTTGTGACCAGCCGCATGCACACTGCCTCCGGCCCTTGGGATGCGATATTGATACCCTGGGAGGCACCATCTGCCCTCCCGCCGCCAGCTGCACCGCTGTTTACACTCCAGCCGCCTTCCCCATCCCAGTCCTGAGGTGGGCCCAATCCTTATTTTTCTTTTTCTTTTCTTTTCCTCCCCTAGGGCTCGGTGCCTGGCCAAGGGCAGAGTGCCAGAGCAGGAGCTGCCTTTGGCCACGAGAGCCCACTCGCTGTATCCTCCGTGGATGGGCAGCAGACAAAGCAGGTGGGAGCTTAGGAAGCAGCGCTGGCCAAAAGATGTGCTGGTGGCCGCTCACCACCACTCCCCTTAACCTGGAACGATGAATGGCAGGGACTGGGGGCTGACAGGCTCCGAGCCTACAGATGCTCTCCATGGACAAAACGTCCCAGTAGTTTGCTCTGATGGGCTGGGAAGTGATCCTGGGAAGTGCTGCGGATTCTACTGTACTCTGCTGGCATATTTGTTTGCTTGCAGGGCACGGAGCCTCTCAGCTCCCAATGGTTGTGAACAGCAAACTGCAGTCAATGGGAGCGGAGAAGCTCCATGCACGTCCCTCAGCCAGTGCTGAAGCTGAGGAGCTACGAGTGTACTCCTGAGTCGGCTTATAAATGGGTAAATGACTTTTTACTATTTTTTCTCTAAGTTTTACAGGGGGGAGGCTTATGAACAAACAGGCTTATATTCGAGTATATATGGTATATGGTTATTTTAACAAGAATGCACACACAGTTGAAGTCTGAATTAATGTGATTATCTTCAACACAAACCAGTTTTGCTAGCCAGGATGATAGATATCTACTATAAAACCTTCTAAATAAAACATAGAATGATGATGAAATACTATACCAGCTGTTTTATGAAATACACCATGTATATGCTAATTTTTAAATGGTACTTCAATGGAAAGAAGAAACACAATGGGCAAAATTATTAAGGAGAAAATATCAACCAGAGTTTCAGATGTAGCTGACTTTCCTTTGTAAAATTAGGTGATGCCATTATGGCAATGTACACATAATTACTTATTTATAATTTATAAATATGCAGCTAACAACATGTAACATACCATCATTTTGAATTAAAAGTAGCATATATAAAAATGGAGTTAAGAACTAACCTGACTGACTAGTCAGAAATAAATCTCTTTAAATAAATGATTGCCTGTGCTGTAGTCAATTTGCAAACATTAATGATCTTTCATTTGATTAAGCAAATACCCAGAAGCATTACTGCATTGTGTGGAGGTACAGCTTGAAAATAATGCTGGATTTAAAGCTGACCCATGGATCTGGATCCAATTCTCCAAAGAGCTCCACAGTATAACTGGTGATTGTTGTGATATTGCGACCTCGCAAGGCTAATTTATGACATTGTAAAGCAAAGAATACAACACTGGTCCAAGCCTCTTTACAGGATTAATTCATCCGTGTGCAGAAACTTTAAGCTAGAAAAAATTATGAAGCTTTTTGAGTTGACGGAGCTCAAAAAAAAAGAACACACTCCAAGCATGTAAACTTTGTTTACTACTTCATTGTAAAAACAGACAGATTAAGTCTTTAAAAATTCATTTATGAAATATGAGAATCAAGACAAATAAATATAAATGTATACTATGTGTTAAGACAAGCTTCATACCCCAGAAAGAAAGGGTTTAAAATTGGAACACAGAAGACCGCTAACAGTAGCAATGCTTGTGAACACCACCATAAAAAAGAAATTCCTGAAGGCCCTGTTCTTGCCATAAATGGGCAGATTCAAAAAGGAATTTTTAAAATAGGTGATTGGAATTTAAGTCAAAACTTTTACTTACTCTGCCCCGTTCAACTTGAGTGGTCAACATTACAACCATAGATGAACCTTGTTCCCAAGTCATCTGCCAAAAATCAGGGCAAGTGTTCGGTAATGGACCCTGACAAGCAATGTACTGGTTTATTATGCTGGAAGAAGGGATTTCCATCTAAAAGAAAACAAAACGATAATTATTTTTTCTGTTAAACAATATTCAAGTTGCCAATACATCAATTTATGCACCATAAATTTAGTCTTTACTATATAATTTAAATTAAACTTACAAAAAATGAAGAATGAAATCAATAAAAATTTTACAATTGTTACAGACCACAGTTAAAAAAAGCACACAGAACAAAACAAAGTCTGTCAACTTTGAGAAAAACTGTATTTAAAACCATAAAGAAATCCAAATATCTTTCATTTAAATAACTGACAGACTTTTGGCGCCAAATACCTGAGCTATAAAAAACCACAGGTCACAATGAAGGCATATGAAAAAATGTGACAGTTCAGCATCAAAATAATTTGAGTAGACATATACGCATTAAATTCACTGTTTATAATATCTGTTAATTAACTACTAATCCTGGAATCAAATAATTTTTCCTCTGTATTTCTAAAGTGAAAAGTTAGCTGTACTTTCGTTTTTCCTGGCAACAAAGAACTAGCAAGCTGAATTTTACTAGTACTGAAAACTGCTACAACAATGTGCACTGGGTTACTCTGCACTACTTTTAACTCTAGATCAGTGTTTTGTAAACTGTGTTCCGTGGCACATTGGTGTGCTGCGGAGAACAGCAGAATTCAAAATGGCCGCCTTTAAAGGGGCAGGTGACCTTTCCCCCTCTCCCCCAATAACTTTCTCCCAACCCTTTTTTCTCCACTCAATAACTATCCCCCTGGCCCTTCTCCCCCGCCCCCTCCTCTTTTTTTGGTCAACAAAAAATCCTTGGTGTTCCTCGTACAAAAAATATTGTTTGGTGTTCCTCGGTCTTAAAATTTTTAAGAAACACTGCTCTAGATCAGTGTTTCCCAAATGGTGTTCCGCAGAACCCAGGGGTTCCTCAAAATGAACATAAGGGTTCCACGGGAAAATTCCATTATAATAACATTTTATGATTTAAAAAAATATTTTTGTACACATTAAATGTGATTTTTGTTTTTAATTATGTGCAATTAAACTAATTGTAGATCTCATTATCTTGTTTAGCATTTGTTTATTATTATCCTTACTTATTTGTGGTCTACTTTTTCAGCTCCATAGCTAAGACTGTTATTAGGGGTTCCACAAAATTATTTTGAGTTTAAAAAAGTTCCGTGGCCAAATGAAACTGGGAAACACTGCTCTAGATGTTTACTTTCTCCCAACAATGACCCCATCTGAAATTAAATTCAGGATCTCATTGCTCCACATAAAATCTCTCAATTTGATGGAGCGTTATTAGGAAATTATCAACCACTGTCTTTCAGATACATAAACTTACTAAATATTTACACCAATTTATGAAAGTACTTCCCATCCAAGGTAGCCCAGGTTAGATTTGAGAAACATTTTCAAAAAGAGTAAATTATTTTATTTTCATATTTTCCGTGAAAAGCTGCAGTAGCAACTTATAACCATGTTCCCTGTAAGATGTGCACTTGCATGGCCATTCAGGAGAAAGTCAAATGCCGCCCAGCGGACTAGCAGAGTGCCCACAGTTAGTTTTTTTGTTTCAACTGGCGGTGCACATTGGCACATGCATCGATGCACATAAAAATATTCTGCACGTGGATGGGAAAATCAGCACATGGATGGAAAAGATTAGAGAGAACTTTGCTTATAAATCAGTTCTTCTCCAGAACGTTGCCATGCTTTTCTTATAATATGAATGACATAACATTCAACTCACATTTATATAATTTGCATTGATGTAGTCATCATTACTCTTCAAAATGACCCGTGTAGCATCATCTGAAAAATATTTAAAGAACATGTGGTATTTCTCTACCAAGTACAATTAAATATTTTAACTTAAAAACTTATACATATACACAAACTTACAAGGCGAAATGTCTCTGTATCTATTTTTGGAAATGTTTTGAGGTAATTTGGCACAAGACATTGTCATTCCAGGCTTCTTCCTATATAGTTGCTAAAAGGAAAAAAGATGGTCAGATAGTAACAGGCACAACACAAAGCTTGTTGACTTTCAGTTTTCTACAGACATTTTAAAATAGGATAAAACAAACATTCTTTTCTATTCTTAAGCAAAATACAGCATTCATTTCGTTCTTTTACAAGATCACTCAAACAGCTGGACTAAATGTTCCATAAATTTGATCAAAAGCATAGGCTGAGAAACTGATTTGAAAGCTGGGGCAGCATGCACGTATATGGACAAAGTTCAATGCTACTAGTTGTGTGGCAATAGCAAAGAGAGTCCATTGTAAGGATGTTACATTTAGATTTGTCAACTAATTGAATAGTTGATGTAATTTGCATTGACTATTCAATGAGTCAATAAGGGCACCTCTACCTTTGAAATGTAGGAAGAGCCCCCCTGGCTCAAGGAGTCCCCTGCTGACCCTCTGCTCTCTGCTTTTGAAATGTACAAGAGCCTCTTGCACATTTCAAAAATGAAGTGCCACCAGGAGTGCGGGGCAAGCAGGGGACTATTTGAGTCCCCAGTTCACCCCATGCTCCCTGAAGTGCTTCTGCTTTTGAAATATAGCAAGAGCCCTGCTCTTGATACATTTCAAAGGCAGAAGCGTCACCAGTTCCCTGCTGCATCCCTGCCCCTTCTCCCCACAGAGACAGTGCTGGGGGGAAATGGCTTTTAAACCAGCTGCCCCAGCACTAGATCCTGTGCCCCTCCCCTCGGCTCCCAGGACTCTGCCAGGCACCGGAAAAGGTGTGTGCTGTCCTTGCCTGGGGCAGAGATCCTGGCCCTACTGGAGGTATGGGGTGAAGAGGAGACACTCCAGGATTTCCACTCCAGATGGCGAAATACCGACATATGGCCAGAGGGCTGAGACCCTGGCCATGAGGGGCCACCACAGGACTCTGAAGCAGGTCTGCAGCAAGGTCAAAGAGCTCAGACAGGGCTACCCCAGGGTGAGGGAGTGCAGCTGGCCAAACACTTCCCTTGCCTGCTTATCTGTGGGATGCGAGGGTGGAGGGGGGACATGGAAGCAGGGCCCGCTGTCCAGGCCACACATGGCCTTTCTCCCTGGATATCACCGTCCTCTGCCCTGAGAACTGTTGCTCTCGGCACGCTGATGAGGGCAAGGCTTCAGGGACAGTGTCTCCAGGAATGACTGACCACCTCTCTATTCAGCCGGACCAGCTGTGACTGTGGGGTGATCACCAGCAGCCCAGTCAGCTGCCCGACCCCGTGGGAACTGCAGGCATCGGAGGGTCCACGAGGACCTGATGAGGGACATGTGTCTGTCCTCCGGGACATGCAGCAGATGCTGGCCAAGAGGGTCTGGGACAAGGCAGAATGGCGGGACCAGATTGGACCAAGCTGCTGCAGCAGGGCCTCAACATCTACGCCACTGTATGGGAGACCATGGCGTACCCAACACCAGGCCCAGTCCCTGCTCCAGAGCCCTGACCCGCCCGCCAGCTGTTTATCCCTCTCTTCCACCAGGACCCTCCAATTCCCGAGATCGTCGAAGTCCCTGGACACGAGGTAGACAAACCACTCAAACTACGTGCCAGTCTGAGCCCCAGATTTAAGCCTCTCCTCTCCAAGATTTTCACTCCCCCTCCCCATATCCAGATTCTCAGCTTCCCCCCTCCCTCCCAGTTACTTTTATCCCAAATAGAAAAACAGGGTTTTTTTGTACAAAACCATTGTTTTTATTGGATCTCTGGGAAGGGCAGAAGGGAGGGGTTGTTGGAAAGGTAGAGAGGGTCAAGGAACAGGCCCCTAGTGGGGAGGTCCTGGGGAGAGTTACTGAGGTCCTTCAGAGAAACTCTCTCTCAGGGCCTCCCGGATGCGCACCCCCACGTGATGGGCCTGATGGATAGCAACTGTGTGTGGCTGCTCGAAGGACCATCTCTCCCAGCCAGCCTCTGCCCCCCACTCCAGAAGGAAGGCCTCCCCCTTCCTTCCCACAATGTGGTGGTGAACACAACAGGCTGACAACACCTGGGAGATGTTATGCTCCCTCATATTGAGGCAGGTCAGAGGCACCTGAATCGTGCCTTCAAGCGTCCAAAGGAGCATTCCACCCAGATGCAGGCTGAAACGGTCCCTGCTTGTGTTCAGGTGGCCGGTGTACACGCTCATCAGCTACTGCATCAGGGGTAGGCCGCGTTCCCCACAAAGGACAGTGGCATTTCAACGTTCCCGACCCTGAAGTTGTGCTTGGGGAAGAATATGACAGCCTCCAGCTCCTGGTAGAGACTGGAGTTGTGGGACACGGGTGTCATGCGTCCTCCTTGACCAGCCAGTTAAACTGTCCGAACTGTCCATGGTGGTTGACCAGGACCTGCAGGACCATAGAACCACATGGCACGGTGGTTGGGGTCACGGAGGGGGATGTGGGTTCCATCTATTGCCCCCCCTCTTCTGCAGTTGGGGAAGCCCAGGGCAGCAAATCCGGCCACAATGGGGTGCAGGTCTCCCAGGCAAATGACTGCACAGCAGGATGGTGTTTATGGCCCCCGTCACCTGCAGAAGGAGACAGACACAAAACAGAGAATCAAAGGGGGTCCCTGAGCCCTTGGGAGGTCCCTGCGCTCTGCCTCCTCCACCCCCAAACACCCCAGGAGCCACTCCCTATGAAGCCACCCCTGCCCCTGCAGGGCCGTGTGAGGGCAAAACTGCAGAGCCCTCTCCCCCCACAACACTGGACGAGGATTTTCCTCCCCCGGCAATCCTAATCCCCCCTTTCCCTAGGGTCTCACTTTCCAGTACTCCCCCACCTACCCTCTTCCAGGGACTGCAGCCTGAGAGTGCCTGACCTCCATGAAGAGGGCCCTGATGGTGGACTTTCCCACGCAGAACTGGTTGCTCACAGGCTGGTAACTGTCTGTCACGGCGAGCTTCCAGACGGCAATGGCGACCCGCTTCTCCAGGCAGGTGGCGGGTTGCATCTGGGTGTCCCATCAACGGAGGGAAGGGGTGAGCCAGGATGTCTCCTTCCTCATTCTGAAGTTGTAGAGCCACTGCAGGCTGTCCCACCACTCCATCACCAGCCGGCCCCACCAGTCAGAACTGGTGTCCAGCCTCCAAAACCATCTCTTCACCGTAGGGTGCGGTTGCAAGGGCATTGCTCCCACACACAGGCAGAGGTTCTCGCAGAGGACCATGAAGGCAGCCTGCAGAAACTGCAGCATGGCATTGTGGGGCCATCGCATGCCCGGAGGCAGCTCCGGCTCCATGGCAAGGAGTGCTGTAGGGTCCAGAAGCCGGGCAACCAGAGCGCACAGTGCAAATGCTTTGCAGTCCCTCGGAGAGGTAGGCAAGCAAGCAGAAGAAGCTGAGAAATGGCTATCGGGGGGGAAGGGGGGGCCTTTACGCATGCATCTGAGATAGCCTAAAGCAGCAGTACCCAGAAGCAACTGCTGACCTAATGCTGTGCCTGAACTAGTTTTGGGTGGCCCTAAATGTGAGGTAGACTGTCCACACGCAAAAAGCGCAACAAAATAGTGATTTACTATTTTGAAAGATAGCATCCACACTGATTGGACGCAATCTTTCAAAATAGCAAATCACTATTTTGTTGCGCTTTTTGCACATGTACGCTCTCTTTCAAAATAAGCTTTTCCAGAAGATGTCTTCCGGAAAAGTTTATTCTGAAAGAAGCTTGCAGTGTAGACGTAGCCTGACAAAGGCAGCGGGGAGGGAGGGCGTGGGGGGAGGGAACTTACATACTCAGTCCATTGTACCTTAAACGTGGTATGTTTCATTTAGTTTGAATCAAACTACAAATCACTCAAGAGAAACTTTGGAACGACACTTTCTGTATTTTTCTTCAGCTATTGCATTTCAATCAAAACAAGCATGGAAACAGGATTTTTCTTAACAATTCATTTGATTACTGCTTTTTAATCCTTGCTTGAATACCTCAGTTCCCAACATCACATCTGGGATCTAACCAGGGCTTGTCGAACGGTGGTGAAAGCCGCTCGCCAGCCCCGCACTGTGCATGCGCAAGATCCGCAATGAGCATGCACGCCGCAAATGAACGGGACACCAGGCTGAAATCTACTCGCCACGGGCGAGTAGATTCAATACTTTGTCAAGCCCTGGATATAACCACCACAAAAACTGATAGCAAAGCAATCTATTTTTATGACTGCTGATACCATAATCATTACTTTAAATCAGGGCTACTCAATATGTGGCCCGTGGGCTGCATGTGGCCCACAGCCCATTTGTTTGTGGTCCACAGTGCAGTTTGGATTTATATAGGGCTCAACACGTGGCTTGTGGGTGGGATCTTTTGAACATGGGTTCCACTGGGAACACGCTCCTCAACGGTGAGGCATCTCCCAGGTGGGGTGGGCAAACAGAGAGGCTGGCTGGAACAGACAGGTATAGGGTGTTGGCGTTTTTAGCCCCCAGGAAGGAGGTGCCAGCAGCGCCGGGGCATTGTGTGAAAGAAGCTATTTGCATATATATTTGCAACCACATTAAAGTTGCAGCCCTCGGCATGTGCTGTGGGTATCATTGTGGCCCCCAGGGTTTCCAAAGTTGAGCAGCCCTGCTTTAAATCATTAAGGAATTTTTTCTACATCACTTTATGCTTCACATAGACTTATTTCAGAGGCACAGTTGACACATTAGTTGAAACATAGTTTACAATCACCTACTATTTTGCTAACACAAAACTGCATGAACCATAGTTATCCATTAGTACAGTAAACTTCCGATAATCCGACACCTTGAGGACCCAGGGGGTGCCAGATTATCAAATATGCTGGACTATCAGAAGGGGGGGCTCTGAGGGGTCTGGGGTGGTGGGGAGGGGATCCCCCCCCAGACCCCTCATAGCCTCCCCTTCCGATAGTCCGGCTCTGCCCCAGGAGTCCCCGATTCAGCCGCTGATGGTCAGTTTCAGCAGCAGCTGAATCAGGGATGCCTACAGCAGAGCAGCTGAGGTGCTGCCAGGTTGGTCCGATAGCACCACCACTCGGCGCTGCGAGACCAACCCAGCAGCACCCCAGCTGCTCTTGGGGATGCCTGGGGCAGAGCAGCTGGGGTGCTGTCAGGTTGGTCCTGCAACCCCGAGGGGCAGCGCTACGGGACCAACCCGGCAACACCCCAGCTGCTCCGCCCCCCCCCCGCCTCTTTTTTAAGCTGAATTGGGGAAGCTGGGAGCAGAGCAGCTTCAATTGTCCGGCTGCCCAGAGCACTTCTGGGTTCCTGATGGTGCCAGACCATCAGGAGTGCTGGAGCATTGGATGCAGGACCAATGGAGTTTTACTATATATTTAAACATAAATTTACCATTTTAATGTTTTGGGCTAGCAGATACATCCTGGTGAATAATCTGACTGGCTACGCTATTATTACACCCTGACCCTGCCACAATAATGCTCCTGCACTCCTACACAGTTTACTGTTGAGGTTAGGCAGATACAAATCGTCCATTGGAATCATACTCATTTACTCTAGAGTAAATTTTGCCTTAGTAGAACAAAAAAAGTTCTAATTCTGCCTCCATTTACAACTGAACAAGGAGCAAAAGATCTGAAAAGTGAGCTTGAATACGATCACAATGGTACCAAAAGCTATTTAAGTTCCTGCATAAAATTAAAAGGAATGATAAAATAATTATTTTATGTCATGCAAAACACATAAATGATTTGAAATGCAGTATTTCCTCAAAGCATTAGGTTTAATAGTTCTACATAAAATTAATGACTAAAGCCAACCAATTTTCAGTAATCTTAGTTTTAATTCAATAGGCTTAATAAGGCATTGCTTTAATCTTAAAAATTTTCAGTTTAAAGAAGCACAAGATTAATAAACCAAAATTTGATTTTTTTTTTGCTTTTTTATAACTATTTGCAAGATGCATGCATTTTTGTATCATTTAGTACAAACTGAATGCTTATTTTTTAGAAAACAAGAGGTCTATTATATAGTGAAATGAGTAACCCCTAGATAGCTAACCACTATATAAACATGGGATGAAGGAAAGAGTTTGTCAAGGAAAAAAATTCAAGCTTCCAGGGATTTACTATAGATACCAAGCAATAAAAGTGTCAACAGCAATGAAAAGTACTCTATATAATTTACTGAACACAAATCTATGGTGTTTCAACACAGAAGTTATATGATACTCAACTGTTCTTTCTTTACGGCAGATGAGTCAGTAACCTTGCTGACAGAGTCTAAACTCAAGCCAACGCTATTCAAGCTTGTTCTGTTGAAGCTCACTGTTACCAAGAAAGAGGGTGGGGTGCGCATACAGGTTGTACATTACTTACATCAAACTGAGCCAGAATAGTTCCAGTGATAAGCCCCTCTGAGAGCTGAATCATAGATTCCCTCAGAGCATTGTCATCCTGATGGACAGCGTCCAGTGGGGATTTCTCAGGGATGTACTGGAAGTCAGGCTCACTTTCCAACTTCTCTTCCACCACATCGTAGACAGCTACAATAAATAAAGGTAGGAAGGCTGAGAGAGGTTCTAATCTTGCATGCTCTTTGGCTGTAAAAAGTGAATGCTCATCTTTTAAATTAAGAAAAATGGCAATTCAGTATTTCTCGTACAGGAAAATCTATGTTAAGAGCACCACTAAGAATCTGGGACTTTAATCCATAATCAACAACAAAAAATCAGCATTGAAACCATTTTGCACCACCTAAAACTACACTGTTTATTGTTGAGTAAGAAATGGATTTTCACTTAAGACTGCTAAAACCCTTTACCCTAAACTTAGTCATATCTTGCCTCGTTTACTGTAATTTTCTCCTCTCTGGCTTCCCAGATTCCCATTATCACATCCTCCAAGTCACTCAAGTACCAAAGTTTATCTTTTTTGTCTTGCATGTCACTTTGCATGGAATTAATTTGGCAGATCACTCTCATAAGCCCTACTACAATTCTACAAACACTCTGTGCGACAGTCCTGCCTGTAAACACATTGTATTCAAATATACACAGTAAAGTACATACCATAGCACACAAGCATATGCTCTTCAAAAAGTTTGCCTATAAAGTGGAACACTAAAAATGTGAACGAAGAGCTACATAGATTCATGGAGGTTAGATCCGTCAATGGCTATTAGCCAGGATGGGTAGGAATGGTGTCCCTAGGCTCTGTATTTCTGGAAATGGATGACAGGAGAGGGATCACATGAGGATTATCTGTTGTGTTCCCTCCCTCTGGGGCATCTGGTAATGGCTACTGTTGGCAGACAGGATACTGGGCTAGACTGACCTTTGGTCTGACCCAATATGGTCGTTCTTATGTAAGAAATTACAGCTACTTTTAAATTCTGCATGTTAACGCTATTTATTTAAATCGCAAGTATAATCAACTCACAAAGGGGTATTAACTTGATAAATATGTACACCAATTTAGCAGAATGTATTTTATATGAATACGACAGATGAAAAAAATATACAAAAACAATGAAATGGCTTAAATGCATACAATGGGAAGTAACACAAATAAAGGATACCAGAATAATTTGCCAGTTGGTAAAGGTACTATGGTGGAGTGATTTCAACTATTCCAATTATTTCTCTGCTACAATTATTTTTCTGTTACATAGCTCTTTATTGTGATTGGTTAGTGAAGCAGAATTAAACCGTCAGCAGCTAAGTCTTGGCAACATTCCAACAGTGTATATGCTATGAACAAACTGTACAAGCTTGTTTTCTTTACCCATCTTCTTTTATTAAGCCACCTCCAGTAGCAATGTTACCAATAACTCTCAATTACTTTGAAGACAAAAATATTCTAAGTCCCTGAATACCATCTCACCCATGTGACAATTTCCAAAAACATCCACAATTGCCATTTTGGGATAGACTACCCCTCCACACTAGAACCAATCTGCATACTTATCTGGCTAGTTTGTACCTAATGTGATTCAGACAATTTTAAGTAAAACCTCCTGCTAAGAACACCTGATTATTTTTTATATCCCAATTTCTGGGATTTAAAATTTGTTTTGAACACTTACTATTACAGGCACAAATTGTTTGCAGTACAAAATTACTCCTCTGTATGTGTATATGACTGAAATACTGACTTGTTATTGTACTCTTATATGCATTTTTCTAAGGGGAAGCTCCTTTTTGTAAAGAGTATTAGTATCCTTATTCCAGGACATAATGCAAAGGTTCAAGAGGAGAGGTTAGATTTGCTGTGTTACATATAAATCACTCACCATTGGGTCGAACTAGGAGCACAAGTTCCCCTGAGTGCCTCTCACAGCTCTCTTTAATAAACATAACAACTTCATCGTGGGTATGCTCCGCTATATCCCTGCCATTTATCAGAACAACCTGGTCCCCTTCATTCAAACGAGGGACACAGAGGTCAGCCTGCAACATTAAGCAAATTAAGTTTTACAAACACAGCGCAGAACAACATAAGAAACAGCGTAACTGTATTCACAAATGTGGATTCTGTCAGACTCATTGATATGGTTGCCACATTGGATCAAATGATATATGAAGTGTTACACAACACAGCAGACAGTGCCATTCATACGAACATTTCAATTCACAACTGAGAGGAGGATCTGTCATTTCAACATGTCTTTCTGTTACTGTTACTCCCTAATCCTTGTATGCACGCTGAAGCTGAACGGTTGGATAAATTCTCCATTATCTGAATTATATTCTGCATTAACACTGGATGCAGGACAAGCTCAGATATCTCATAAGGCAGGGCAGTAGCATGTCAAAACATTGTCCAGTTCAATTTCACAAGCCGAAGGGCTGCACACTTCTAATGTCATTTTCATGGCAATAAAAAGATCGGGGCCAAAGGAAACGCAACAAATTCAGGTAATCTGAGTGAATAGAATCAGCAAGTGAAAGTGCTATTTAAGTTACAATTTAAGCATGGTATTCAGAGAATACTGCATTCACTATTTATCATCACCACAGCATTGCTAGATATTTAATTCATTTATCCAAAATTAACCGCAACATAAACTAATTTGAGATACAGAAAATAAAGTAAGAAAAACTAATTAATTAGGATAAGAACAAACTAACATAACGATGCCAACATATACACTTTAATTAGCTTATTTAGATGAAACTACTTTTTATTAATGTAATCAAATGTGTGTCTTATTCTACTGATTTCTGACAGGCGCACAACAAAGAGCTGGCATCACAATGCCTGAATACCAGGTAATTATTTCTGGCAATCAACCGCCACAATATTGTGCCTAGTTTTCAACACCAGAAAAAAATAACAGAATCAGACCTAATGAATGATTCATTATGTCTGGTTTAATCTAAATCTTTGCATTACCCACAACTGCACGTTTCAGTAAAAACAAAGGGATTTGCAATTTTTTAACAGCATAAATGTTTTTCTCGGTATAATTTGACACAAAATACCATGAATGTCTAAATTAAAAAAATAAGTTAAATAATGTTTTAGGATAAGTGAGGCATTATCTATCAAGGTTCAAGAAACAAGCATTATAACACATTGCAATGACTTGCAGTGATATAATGCTGTACAGTGATTTTTTTATTATTAAAGCATGGACCACACTAAAATATGAACTCTTAAGTTTCCTTAAATAAATAAAAAAGGACAATTCACAGACGGCAATATAAGCAGTTTAATTTATTGCAGGAATTTGTAGAAGAATATGTAAGTGACATTGGGGACACTGTATTCTATCTTTAGTTTATTTTCATTCCATTGTTCTCATTTAATTAGCAAAAGGTATTTTAACGTCACATTTTAAATGTGTTTAATTCCAACAATTTATCAAAGAACAAGCTGTCCAAAAGGTATAGTAAATACTATACTAAAGTGAATATGTTAGAATAATTTTATTCCTAGCAAGGCATGGCAGAATGTTCTCCATCAAGGAAAACGAACACACAAAAGAAAGGACATACCATCTTGTCTAATAGTCTGGAACCTTCAGGGCTACAACAACACTGCACAAACCTAATTAAACACCACCACTTCCAAATTACTCTTATAACTTACTGGTGTTCCTGGAGCTACCCTGGACACTATTACAGGCATCTTCTGGTCAGATCCTCCCTTATAAAAAACCAAAAAAACAAAAACAGCAAGTCACAAATCATGAGCGTTGCTGAACAATCTTTACAAACATGGATACATATCTATTCTTCATTACCTTTACATTGAAGCCAAATCTTCCATTTTCATCTGGTTTCATTCTGATCAAAACAAGATTGTCAGGGGGAACACCACCATTGGGCTAAACAAAAAAGAAGTATATAACATTACATGTAATTTGTCCTGCTCATGCATGCTTAGGGGACGGATAGCTCAGTGGTTTGAGCATTTATGCATGCTTAGGGGAGGGATAGCTCAGTGGTTTGAGCATTGGCCTGCTAAACCCAGGGTTGTGAGTTCAATCTTTGCGGAGACCATTTAGGGATTTGGGGCAAAAATGTGTCAGGGATGGTACTTGGTCCTGCTATGAAGGCAGGGGACTGGACTCAATGACCTTTCAAGGTGCCTTCCAGTTCTAGGAGATAGGTAATCTCCATTTATTTAAAAATTTATTTATGCTTCAATGAAAGACTACTCTAATAAGACAGCTCTTCCATACATCCTCATCAAATGTCCAATTGCTACTAGGCGTTGAGAAAGCAGCAGCAGCAGCCATGCAAGTAGTCTCTCTCACCCTAGTTTGATTTGGGGGATAATGCACAGCTAATTTGTAAATGTGTTCTCCTGGTAGCAAGCTGGTAAAATAGGGAATGTCCCAAACCATAAACTAATAAAATTACAAGTTACTGAATATCAAATGGAGATGTTACAAATTGGTGGTGCCTGCAGTAAAAATATACTGTTATATAGCTCGGGCTGATCGCATAATTTGTATGTCTTAGTTTGCACTAGTCGCAACTAGGGCTTAATAACGGGCTAGTTTAGCAGGGAGCTGCTGGCCCTACATCCCACCTGTCCAGGAAGAGTTTGAAATAGTAACGTGAGGTTTATTACGCATGCTCCTGGGTTGTGTGGAGAGGAATATAAAGTACCCTATGCTGATAGAGGTTGGTGGTGATGATGATGATGATCATCCCCCCTCTCCTCCACCCTCTCATGTCATTTATCTGATTTATACACCTTTTCTGTGTGTTCTTTCAGAACAGAACTGACTCATGTGGGCACCTTTTCTGTGTGTATATTCAGTTCTTTCAGAACAGAACTGACTCATGTGGTATGGCATAGCCATCTGTGGAAGCTGACACCTCAATCTTGTGCCTTTCAACAAGGTGCTGTTCCAATGGCTTTGAATATGCTTGATCTAGCCTTAAAATGCAGCTCGCGAAGCCTCTGCGCCCTTAGAAATGGCTCTCTCTGCTTACTGGGTGCAGCGATTCAAAATGGAGGTGGCTGACGGGCGAAGGTGTAGCCAAAGAGCCTTGTCTTTTTGGCTCAACTTTTTTTTTGGCTGAACTCTGAGGGGTGGGGTGGGAGAGGCTCTTCTTTTTTTTTTAGCTCAACAAAAATTTCTGAAAAAAAAAAATCTGTTGCGGTTCTTCGCATTTTTTCCGCCACTGTTTTGGCTCTCTTTGTTTAATGGATTGGCCACTCCTGATCTAGCCCCTCATACTTATCCTCTCTCCCAGGGTCTGAGGTGGATTATTCATTGTACATCATTTAACTGTGTTAAACCTGCCCCTCTACCACATAGGATTATTTTATCCTGGTAAAGTTCAACTTGCAAAAGAACTCTGAAGCATGTGGTTGCAGGGGCTAGAAAGTTGACCAGGAGAATCCATTTGATGAACTCGAACCTTCAAAAGAAACCTCCTGCCTGCAAGCCAGTTAACCTGTCCCTGACACGCTACATAGTCTAACTTATACTGTTTCTGCTAACTATATGAAGGGAAGTCTGAACTCTCCAGCTGTGTAAACCATCTCACTTATGCAGAAGATTTTGTGTCACTGTATACCAGAGCGTGTGCACATGCACACGCACACACAAACTATTAGGAGAAGAGCAGTTTCTACATATTTGAAAAGCAACCCCTGCGGACTATCTTGCAGTGAAAATTCTAGTTCTAGAACACTAAAAGGGTTCTTTTCAAACTGGTTCTAGGTATTTGTGGGGATAACCCAAGTGTCTCAAACTCCTAGCCCAGAGGCCATCTACAGCCTGAGCACTTCCCTAATCTGGCCCGCAAAATTCTTTGAAAAAGTTATTTAATCAGGCCCTCTCAGTTGCCAGCCCAGGGAGTAGGAGGGCGAAGGTAGAAACAGCGCACTCAGACCCTCAGCGCCCACATGGTCCTGACTGCAGAGGGTGCTACTCTGTCCAGGAAGCCATGCTTCCTGCCTCTCCTGCGACACAAACCTTTCAGGCCAGGGAGCTGCCTGAGCTGATGTACTTCTGCAGGGCAGGGCCAGCAGGTTTCACTGTTGGTCACACCAGGTAGGGGTAGGAAATCCTAGTGCAAGGATGTGGATGTCACCGAGGGGTGAGGAGCAGGCAGGATTCCCGCATGAGGAGATGGGGGGTGTCAGGGTGAGTGCTCAGTATCAGGTCTTTTGTAGGATCTGTTATCAACTTGCATGTACTGTACTGCTAACCTCAAGTCTTCAAAACTCATGAATCAGCTCCCCCAACCCCAAAAGAGAATGGCATATTCAAATCAGATGAAAATGCACTTGGAGATCTTTTTATTTGGCATCTCATGTTTGATGTCTTTGGCCAAATAAGGGCATATTTTCTAGTTTTTTTTCCCCCCACAAACCATGAGACCTAAAGTCTCCCTTTAAAAAAAAAAAAGGAAAAAAGAAAAAGAAAAAACTGGGATTCTCTTCTAATACCATGTACCAACAAACAAGCATAATCTATTAAATCAGAGCAATCACAGTTGATAGTGGTGCATGAGGCATGAGATAAAGAAAGGAAGGGGCGTGTGCTGGGCTGCTAGGAGAATGAGAGAACTGGCACTGACCCTATGGCAAACTGAGTTGGAGACCCCGGCATAACTACTTCAAAAGACTCCTCAATTGAAGTGATCATCAGAGGGGCTTTTAAAGATCTTGCAAATCATGTGAAAAAGCACTTGTTTTAATATTTGCTCCTAAGACGTTTTAATTGGGTCCATTACATATGAGAGAGATTAAGGAAATAAATGGATTAAAGAGGGGGACGTGGGGATTTGTCCTTAAAATAATATTCTGAAATGCGGCAGAATGAGAGAAGAAATTATATCTGTTGAAGAACTTTAAGTGTGATTCTACAAGCAACCTCTTCAAAAATATATGAGTCCTGTGTTTGTATCTCCAGGATTTTTATATCAAATACTTTCAGGTTTTTAAAAGGAAAGATGCTTTGTGCAACTGCAAGCACTGCAAATTTAACATGAACCCATTTTTTTCCTATCCCCTGATATTCAAATCTAAGGGCTCAGTTCACCAAATTAGACCTTCAACAATATTTGTGCAGTTTCATTACCTGTAGTGGTTGAACACAGATTTAACTCATTCTAGCTTAATAAACATCTTGTATGGGTCCAGCCGCTATTGATGAGAAAGACAAGCATCTGTGTTTACACATAGCTCTTCTTCAGGTCAGCTCCAGCCTGAAGCCAGTCTAAGCAGCAATGAAACTCTCCCAGAGCCGGAGACCAAAATCAACTGCCAAGAGCCAGCCATGGATTTCCCTTTGGTGTTTAGGCATACCCTAATATCCTGGGACTGACATGGCTACAAGAACACTGCATACAACAATGGAAGAGGATATTTTTACGTAGTCATTTTTCAGAGCAGAGCCACAAAAAGGACTCAAAATTCTATGTCATGGTTTAATTTAAACAAAATATATGTAGTGTTGCCAACTCTCTCCATTTTATTGCAAGCGATATCTGGTATTTTATTTAAAGCCCCAGCTCAAGAATCATGCTTCCATTTATAAAAGTGTTCCTAGCCCTCAAGATTGCAGATACTCTGTTGAAAATGTGACCTAAATGAAACCCTCAAAGCTCAAAATTCACAAAGAAAATAACATTTATTCTTTTTAAAACTTTAAATTTTGGGACTCTGACATGATTTTTGCACGTGAGAGACTGGCAATACTTTTTATATAGTAGTTCACATTTTCCTTTTTTTAAACCTATGGACAAATTCACTACCAAAATAGGAGGTTCATTAGAAACATCAGCAAGTATGGGAAAAATAAGTATCAGAGGGATAAAGAATGCCCTTACAATGTCTTTGTGTGATATTCCAGTAATTTAGTTTAGTGAAACTGACACACAAAAGGAAAGATTGACAAAAAAGGAAAGATTAATGGGGGATCAGTGAACAAATCTGACACACTCCCCCCGCCCTCCATGCATAAGGACCTCATCCAGAGGAAAAACAAGATGATCAAACTTGACCTATCGCTTACTGTAGATTTTTCAGGTGATGAGGAAACATCAAATGTTTCATTAATATGGTTATCCAGTTCTTGCTGGGAGTGTGAATAATGAATTTGGTTCCAACTGTTCTTCTTAGATTGTTTGGGTGGTAATGCAGGAGGCTGCCCATCTATAGGGGTCTCTTGGGATCTAGATATAAAAATAAAATGGCAGAAGGAGAACATTTTATTTGAAAATTCTTACGACACCAGGTAAATTGTATAAGTGGCTAAAAGTATCTCAGAGTTTGAGAGTTACAAAAAATCTGACATTGTTATCTGAAGGGTTCAATTTCATGGATATATTTACTACAGTGTAAATGCAAATTCATGTGTTATGTAGAGTGTATTTCAAAAAAATCATTAACATTCAAAGTTTGATTCAGCTAGAGTGTTCTTGTATAGTGTATTGTTTCTTTTAAACTGTTTACCTACTCTTTTAATTTGCTTGATCAATATACTGGAGAATCCTTTTATAATTTCACACATACCTAGTAATATACTCTATTTGTAAACAAAATATACATCGTTTTATATTTTCCCAAGAAGAAAATCAATTTACATCTTAGACAGCTTTATTTTTAAGGTTTAATTTACAGGCAAAATCTACTTTTGAGTAAATTAGCACTTGAATCTGACAATCCTAATTTTTTGTACTTTTAACAGTAAAATGATTTCAAAATCGAAACCAACATGAAAAAAACATCACACTGTCCATCAGCGTCTCAAAACCACATTTAATTGGCAAGTACTATACATATAATTATGCATGCAATTCACAATTTTGCATTGTCTAATTTGTAATTAAGTACATATTATTTAGCAGGAAGTTTTTAAATATGGCCTTGCATACCAAATTTAGCCAAAGAGAAAATACGTACAGTGCATTTTTTTCATAAGGCATTTTTATCATGGATTTATCTGAAGGAACAGTACCATTAGACGTTCATGTTAGGTTTTAGACTGCAGTGCTGTATCTTAACATACTAGTTTATGCCATGCATGTATTTACTATAGTGGCTGCTCCCTAGTGTGACCGTATTTCCCTATGCTGAATATGGGACACCTGGCAAAACTTCTCGTATTAAAGTGAGTTCAACAACAATCAGAATGATGCAGTAGAGATGTTCAAATTAATATTTAGTTGTTTGAGGCCCCATTAAAAAAATAGTGCATAATTAGGATTATTTTTATTTACCTTCTTTAAGGCTTTAGGACAGGGGTGGGGAACCTTTTTTGAGTTGGGGGCAGCAGACCCACAGAAAAATCAGTCGGGGGCTGCACACAATTGAGAAGTGGGAAAAAACCTCTCACTGTGGCCCCTGAATGAGAAAGACACTCCCCACATTTCCCTTGCACACCAGAGCCTATGGGGGCCCAGCCTAGTAGATTTTGTGCGCTCCAGCCCCACGGGGAGGCAGCAGGGAGACTGGAGTGCCAGCTCAGGCTCCCCAATATTGGGTGGGGCTGAGCCTCTGGGGCCAGATCCAGACAGCTGAGGATTGCATCTGGTCCTCGGGCCTGCAGTTTCCCACCCGTGGCTTTAGGGCTCACACAGGGAGGGGCAACACACACACACTCCTAGCTCCCCCTTCCAATGAACATGGGGAGAGGTGACACATGCATTCCAATATACCTCTCTCAAATGGGAGGCAGGGGAAGGTGACCACCTCTGCCTGTCTGGGCCTCTGGTGAACCAGCCTCTTCTGGTCTTCCTAAGGCAACACATACGCAGAGTGCATAGAAGGGCACATGCCCCCTGCTCCCAGACTTCTACCAGAGAAGGTGACCAGCAGCAGCCTTTTGGCACTGTGCGGGAGGTCAGGGATGGGACAGAATCTGTATTCAGATGTAGGAAAGGGGCAGAGGAGAGATGACCTAGTCCGTCTTGACAGAGCTCATCTCTTCTTCCTTCTCTCCCCCCCAACCCACAGCTGGGATCCACTTTTCCCTTGCCTATTGACACTGTGTGAACAGAAACTAACACCCTCAGGCTACTGCTGGCCACAGACATAACTCGGCCACTCCCCCACTCCAGCATATGCAGGAAAAGGTTCAGCCCTAAAGACGCAGTGTGCAACAAGGCCCAGGGAATCTGACTACAGGGACTTCAGCAAATCTCCTGGGAGATGAAATGTAGGAGACAGAGAAACCTTTTGTTCCCTAGGGGCAGGACCAGTATTTCCTATAAGCTGTGCACTTGTGCGGCTCCTCAGGAGAGATTCAAATGCTACCCATTGATTATCAGTGTGCCCACAGCTAGGTTTTATGTTTCTACTGGTGGTGTACACTGGCACAAGCCTTGGGGAACATACAAAAATTTATTCTACACATGGATGAAAAAGATTAGAGGGAACATTGGGCAGGAACCAGAGCAGGAGGTGAGCAGGGTGCTAAGTTACTGCCCCAGGGCCTGCTGTGGAGCTTGCAAAGTTGGGGCAGGAACAGGCTGAAAACTGTTTCCTCCCTGCCAGGCAGCAGCTTGGCTGAGGGGCAGAGAGACTTACCCATGCTAGTGCTGAACAGGGCTTTGATATATGCAGGGTTCGCTTCTCCCTGCCCAAAACCCTGGGCCAGAGAATCTTGGACTTTCCTGGGGCACTGGCCCAGCCAGAGGCACTGAGGGAAGGAAGGAGCCTGCTAGCCAAGTTGCTGGTGAACTGACTGCGCCAATCAGGGGCTGGTTTTCCACCCAGCACTGGGAGCTCGATGCACTCTCCGCTGGGGATATGGAACAGCAAATGGGCTCAACAGGAAAAAGGGGCAAAGCAAGGAGAGGATAGCGAGAGGGGGAGCACGTAAAGTGCTGATCGGTGGGCTGCAGAGGAGACATGTAACTGACTGCTGCTTGGCACCTGCCGGCACTCATCAACCACTGCAGTTCGCAGCCAGTGCTGGCCAGAAATGGGATGGAGTACAGGGCGTTGCTGGTCAAGAGCCCACATGTAGTAGGGGAAGCGGTTGCAGCTAGCCACACAAGCTGCATCTTTGTCCTGCTACCAGTCTTCCACACCTACCCCCACTATTGGTCACTGGATTCCCCCCCGCCATTTACCACTTGTGGGCAGGCAGCTGTCAAGCTTGGATCTAGCCAGGAACAGAACATACCAGTATTTATGGAGAAGGGAGGGGCTAGTGGGGAAGACCAAAAATACAGGACAACTTGCCTGTTTTTACGAAAAAGTTGGGACACTTTCAGGAAAGGCTTAAATACAGGATTGCCTCTTTGAAAAAATGAGATCTGGTTATCCTGCTATTCCCATGCCCACCTTCTATGACATTGGAATTTAACTGCATAATTTTCTTATGACAAATGTAGGACTCATCTTTTATTTTAAGCATTTATACTTACAAATGAAGGAGATTTTTCAGAGGTAAAAAGGAGCAGTCAAGTGCTTAAACTCCCCTGACTTTAAAAATCAGCCCTAAACACTAACAGTAGTACAGTCCTTCTTATCCACCAACTACATTAAAACTAGGGGTGTGAATAGGTAACTGGTCAACCTTCTACCCAGTAAGTATCACCGTCAATGGATAATGCTTACTGGGTAACAGTTAACTGGTACCTGGGAGCAGCCCCCTGCCTGCAGCAGGCCACGGGCAAAGGGCTACTCCAGCCCTCCCAGGCAGGGCCAGGAGCTAGCTCCCAGTCCTGTGTAGGGCCAGAAGAGCCCCCTGCCTGCCCACCCTCCTTGGTTGGAGCATTCACCCCACTTTAATCAGTTAACCAATTAAACAGTATGTTTAACAGGTTAACCAACTGAATGGGATTTTACATTCTTAGTTAAAACCTGTTTTTATTAAGTACCTACATACTTATAACTCAGATGGAGTACTACAATGAAGACAGGGCCTAACTTTGAAAACAATTAGGCACATAACTTTACCTATGTGAGTTTTCGCACTTACTTGGTCTGATCACATATAAGACTTATTTTGCTAACCGTTAATTATGAATCTCAGAGGGTAGCTGTACTAGTCTGTAACTGAAAAAACTTAAATGGTCCCGCAGCACCTTAGAGACTAACAAAAACGTAGATGGTAAGCTTTCTTGGGCACAACCCACTTCGTCAGATGAATGGAGAAAGGAGTCCAGAGGTACAAATAAATAGCAGAGAAAGAGGAGAGATGGGGAGAGAAAAAGAAAAATAATCTTGTCAAAAAAGTGTCCATGCTAAAGGAGGCAACAGTGGGCTTTAAGTGGAGCTTTTCATGTCATTTGAGTGTTGAATGTAACAGCCCATCCACTTCAAGTCTCTACTCAAACCTTGGTTAAATGCGTCAGATTTGTATATGAAGGCAAGTTCCACAGTTTCTCTCTCCTGCTTTTTTTTAAATTGCTTTCTAAGAGTATGGTCCACTTTTTGAGCCATTGATGAGTGCCTGGGCAAGTTGAAATGTTCCCTAACAGGTTTGTGTATGTTACCATTTCGGATATCTGATTTGTGTCCATTAATCCTTTGCCATAGACTTTGTCCAGCTTGGACAATATACATGGCAGAGGAGCATTGCCCGCACTTGATAGCGTAGATTCCATTATAGTGAATGTGCAGTTGTATGAGCCACGAATGTGGTGGTTTACATGGTTCAGTCCTGTGATGAAGTTGCTTGTACAGATGTGTGGTCAGAGTTGGCACTGGAGTTTATTGCAAGGATGGATTCCTGGGTAAGTATGATAGAGGTGTGTTGCGTGGTTGCTAGAAATAATGTATTTCAGGTTAAGGGGCTCTTGGTAGGCAAGGATTGGCCTGTGAGAGTGAGGAATCGTTTTCCAGAATAGGGTGTAGATTGTTAACGATGTGCTGGAGGAAGTTGGGGGCTATAGGTGACGACCAGTGGTGTTCTGTTATTTTGTTTGTTGGGCCTACCTTGAAGAAGCTGATGCTTGGGTACTTGTCTGGCTCCTCTGTTTTTTCATTTCCCCAGGTGGATATTAGTTTTCAGAATGCCTGACAGTGATCCTGTAGGTGTTTGTCTCTGTTTATGGGATTGCAGGTCATGAGATGCAACCAGATTTGCTCCAATTCTATCTACATTTTTGTTAGTCTCTACAGTACTGCAGGGACTATTCATTATTTTTTATTTTTTTTCACTTAATTATGAGACATTGTAACATTTTAACTCGATTTTTGGCAAAATCTAAAGTATCTTGGACAGCCACGTGTGAAATTCAATACTATATAATTTATTTAATTGTATTTAAAGCAAAACGTAAGTCGCAAGGCAATGGTCATTAGGTAAAAATGAAAGATATGGCAGTTGTTATCCTAGTAACAGTTAATAAGGGAACATAATACGTATTTTCTGACTAACAAGTCACTGGATATCACTGGGAATGATTCCAATGGAACAGGGGTGCACCCATTAACCTGCAGACAAAGACCTGCAAGGCTTTGCATAGCACAGATGCGGTGGTGATGGAATAGGGATGGGGAGGCATGGCCGCCCCCCCTCCTTTTCCTGTTGGAGGCCAGGCCCGCAAGGCACCCAGTCAGAGAGCCTGCCTGTGGTTGTGTGTGGGGGCTGTGTGTGTTCCTGCCCAGCCCAGGACAGGCAGAAGGTCCATGAACGTGCACTGGCTCACCACAGCTGCCTGTATGGGTCTCCTAGAACTTGGCTCCAGCAAGGGTGAGGAGCCTTAGAGCCATAGTCTGACCATAATAAAAGTTGCATGGGCAGCTGTGAACACTCAATGTGGGGGCTGAGGGCAATATGATGCTCACCCTCCTGCACCTGGAGCAGGGGGTCAGTCTCCCTGGCCCCACTCCATCTTGGCCAAGGGTGAGGTCTTCACAGGTAAATCTTTGGGGGGAAGGGCTTCCTCCCCCATACTTTTGGGAAGTCTCCAGTGCTTTCGCTCAGAGGAGTGTTTGAATGGCTGTGGAGCAAGCAAACTCTCACATCCCAGGCAGCGAGTAACAAGGTGATTCTCAGTCCTGGGTAAGCCAAGAACTGTAATTGCAGCAACTGGCCTTAGGGCACAGAGCTCCACCTACTTCCTCTGCCCCACAGAGCCTATGCAGGAAAGCTAATGGGATCTGGTTGAACAAATGGCAGCAGGAAGGAACTCAGTGTTACAGGGATAAAACAGTCTTTGCTGCCCTCCTGACCTCAGCTTTTCAGCTTTGTTCCCTTCCTCTACATTGGCGGTAGTGGATGTGAGTGGAAAATGAGGAAGACAGAGAGCAGGTTCCCCACAGAAGAGACCACCTGACCACAGCAGAAAGGGGAATAATTCTTCAACTGGCACATGGTGAATATCCCTTCACATTAATTTTCAGGTTTTTATCAGTTTTTAAACAAAACCTAATACATTTCTAGGAAATTAAACAAGAAAACCAAACAAACAAGGAAAAGAAAATGAAAAGATTAAGCATAATAAAATGTCTACTTTAAAAGTATAAGCTATTAGAAACCTCAATCTTAAGTCATGTTGACACCTTCCTTGGCAGACTTATTATTTCTACATTTCACAGATTTTGATGCTTAACTTCCAAATTTTATCAAATTACAATTTTTGCACCAACAGGATGGTTGAAACACCCCTCCATCCCGCTGGCAATTATTTGTTCAAACTGTAATGACTGCAGAAGCTGAGACTTATAACAGAAGGAAATAAAAACATATTAGGAAACATGCTTATTCAATAGCAGCTTCCACAAAGAACTTGGTAACTTGTTCACTCTTATCAGAAAAGGGCAACATGTGTTTTATTTTACCCTCTCTGCAAAGTTCCAACAGCAGCAATGGAAACAGTTTTTCATCAGTTTTTGTGGAGAGAGAAAAACTGATTACTAACATTTACTAATTAACTTTCAAGGCAGTTATACATTATTTAGGCACTGGCCCATTATAAGTGCTTAGAGTTCTTTTAGTTGAATATTTATTCAATTAACACTGGCTGACAGTTTACTCATCTTTTAAAAGGGATAGGTAAGATATGTCTTTGTGTAAATGTTAACGTCTGGGCAGCTGTGATTTTAAAAGTTCAAAAAACAAATCATTCCAAAAACAAAGTTAAAAAAAATCATCTTTTTGGCTATCAATATGCATGTACGAGTTAATGAATCCTATAGAAGATAGGAACTTATAGCAAACATTTGAAAAAAGATACTTAAATGAGCACTTTAGTATTAACAGTGTAAAGGACAGTAACATATTAGCATAATGAATTGTGAGAACTAATAATCAGCTCTTGGGCAAATCCTTCATTGCTTTATATTTGCTCAGTCAGCTCTGAATTTCCTTATGAATGCTTAGACAATGTCACTGAAAGCAGCCTATTTTGCAGTCAAAGCAGCTTTGTGTTACCACATTCAACAATTTGCATAACAAAACATAACAAAAAACCCCACACTGACAAACTTTGCATGTACTTGTTATAAATATCCAGTTTGCCTTTTAATATTCCAAAAGAAATAGTTTCATATTTGTAACATGAATTTATTAAATTTAACACCTGCCATGTATTTTTAAAATTAACATAGGAGGTATTTTAATTATCTCAGGAAATTGCAATCAAACATGTCACCAGACTATGAAATAGCTAGAGGAACACGAGGACAAACAACATGCTATGGTCACAATAAATGTCTGTTATTCACAGTACTTCAAATGTCTGTTATTCACAGTACTTCACTATGAACACATTTCTACATTGTTCTGCAACAGATACTTTCCTTTATTTGCTGTGGAGGATAATGTGTCAAAAGGAAAATCTGGCATGTTATATGTAAGATTTGAAAGTTTATTATCCAGAATACAGGAAACACCTGTAATTTGCACTGATAGCCCAGCTGTGTCTGCAATAAAGTAAGCTAGGTCAAGGATTCATTGACCCCAAATACTACAGGTACCAGGATATACAGTCTCTAACTTTGGAATTAGATTTAATTTTATTTAAAAACCTTTTACCATAAATATGCACTGAGCTGTATCTTATTTACAGACCTTTCCATTCTGCTAAAAGAAAGTGCAGTGATCTCAGTATCTGTTATTGCAAACATTCCACAATAAAAGTAATCAAAACACAATTCAGCAAACCCGTTAGTTGTAGTTGATTAAAACAACACAATAAAGAATAAATCTTTCTGGCAGCGAAAAGTATATTCTTCAAATTAAAATTAATTGAATCTGTAAGTAACGCAAGGCATCTCTTCTGGAATATGCCACATATAAGCATGCTTAATACTACAAGGATCCCAAGAGCTATAACCCTCTTAGTTCCTTAACGTTAAGCTCTCTCAGTTTACAGTCCAAAGAAATTTTTAAACATAAAAATCACTTTTGTATTATGTATCTTTAATACATAAAAGTGGTCTGCAACATGTTATCCAGACTCTAAGTTGGTGCAAAGTGATTTAAAACTAATTTTTTGTCCACAGGTTTTTTTAAAATAATGATTTCTCTGTCCTTTTATAGTTATCAAATCCTGAATAGGGACATAAGCAAGTAGTCAACTATCCAATGAGTAAATGCTTATTGGATAGTCGACTAGTGACTCGACTAGTCGCATCTCCACCCCTCACTGCCTCTATAAGAGAAGGGGGGGGGAACAGGATCTGGTGTTGGGGGGGGAGCCAGCTTAAAAGCTGCTTCCCTCTAGCACTGTCTCCAGGGGGAGAAGTGGCAGGGGCACAACAGGGAGCTGGTGGCACTTCCACCTTTGAAATGTAGCAAGGGCTCTTGCTATATTTCAAAAGAAGCAGCGCTGCCGGGAGCATGGGGCAAGCTGGGGACTCAAACAGTCCCCCGCTGGCCCTGTGCTCCTGGAGGCTCTAGGATGTTAAATTTAGATTAATCAACTAATCTAATAGTCAATGTAACTTTCATCAATGAGTCGATAAGGGCCCCTCCGCTTTTGAAATGTACAAGAGGTCCCCCCTCCCGACACCCCAGCTCTTGTACATTTCAAAAGCAAGGAGTGCAGGGCCAGCAAGGGACTACTTGAGTCCCCTGCTGGTTGTGCTTTCCAGGCCCTTCCGCCTTTGAAATGTAGCAAGAGCCGGTGAAGCTCTTGCTACATTTCAAAGGTGGAGGCTCCCTTATCGACTAATCATATAGTCGATGAAAATTACATCAACTGTTTAATTAGATATTAATCTAAATTTAACATCCTTAATTCCAAATCAATAATATTTTGGCATTTCAAAGAACCAATAAAGTAAACATTTCATAAATGCATAAATGATTAGAAGCCTAGGTTCTATTTTCAAAAGTGACATACATCACTCATGTGACATACTACATGTTTTAAAATGGAACTTAGATACCTAAAATTACTGTGTCTTAGGAACAGTGTCTTTCCACTTTCCTCCATGCCACTTTTTATACAAGGAACATCCATGCCTGAAATGATCTGCAAAGCCACTATCCTTTCCAAAAAGGGCTTTTCAAGACTAATTTCTGTGACCTTTACAAGAAATCAGCTATTTAACAGAACAAGGGAGAATTTGAGAAAGAGCATACAGTTTTTGACCCATAAGAATAATGCAGCATTTCCAAACACATCACTAAAACCTTTACATCATACTACATAATCATGTATTATCCTTTTTGCAAAAAAATCTTGTGTATTAAGAGTGATACTCTCATACTTTGATTCAGATGGTTTGATGGAGTTAAGACATGAGTAAAATCCTATACCACCATAATGGTTGAAGGATAGGTTCTTATGCTAGCAACTTATCTTTTTTTTAATCAGATAAATATATATTACTGCCATCTAAAAATACTTATTTACAAATTATGTTTTCTGGTCCTGGTTTTATTGATAAATACTAAAGGGAACTACATAAACTTTCCAAGGTAAGAACTATATCAGGGCCTCAAATGTGCTACAGCAATAAAATAATATAATTGCTGAACTCACGGTGATGATTCCAGAATGATGCTATTAGCCTGGGTGGAGGATGGAGATCTGTGATTTGCAAAAACTTCACTTGGTGAAGTGTGAACGACATGGTCCACCAAATGTCCAACTGAAGATGGACGTAAACGGGCTCTCTCTTGAGTAAATGCAGAGTTGCGACTAAATGTGAAAAGAATAATTAAGCATCTAGAAAATTCTTCTATTGACACTTTTAATCTTCACTGTCCTAAAACTATAAATGCACAATTTAAAAAAAAGATTTACTTTACTTCTAAATGTAAGCATACATTCATATACATTTTACTGAAGAACTTTAAACAGTGAATTGTAATTCCATTAATTCATTTTCATTCAATTCCATTATTTCAAATTCCCAAACTCCTTTTATTACTTCAAAAATACTGAAACCAAATCAGAGAGAAAATGAAGAATGGTTTATTTATCATTTTGTAAAAGGAATTTTTGAAAAACCCTCTCTTGCCACAAATACTAAAAATGTGAACATGCCTCCCAAACTTTAAAGAAAGAAATTTTGCTTATAACCACATGAACTAGTGGATAGACTTGACTGGCAGTCGAGAGGATCTGAGGCGGTATCTTGCCTCTAGTGACGAGAATGGCAAAACTCTCATTAACTTAAATAAGGCCAGGATTTCAGCCCTGCATTCTATTCCAAACAGTCCTCAACCTTACTATGTAATCCCATGATAGTCACACTTCAACTTTCTGCTTCTGTTGTCCCATCTGAAAAATGGGTCCATTTATATTTCATTCATTTTTAAATGCTTTGAGATCAATGAGTAAAATGTACAATCTAAGCATTATTATTAAATATTTTAAATATAAAATGTTTCAGATATTAGCATAACAAGTTGGAATAAATGTTCTGAAGATGAGGCACATTAAGTAAGAGGTCACTGTTTATGTAATATACAAGTACAGTAAACTTCCGATAATCCGGCACCTTTGGGACCCAGGAGGTGCCGGATTATCAGATTTGCCGGACTATCGGAAGGGTGGGGCTATGAGGGATCTGGGGTGTCCATCTCGCTTCGTCTCTCTTTCTCTTCCTCCTACTGCCTCCCCCTCTCTCTCTCAGCTCTCCTCTGCCTTCTGCCTCTCTCTCCATCTATCTTTTTCTTCTCCCCCTCCTGCCTCTCACTTTCTCTTTCTCTTCTCCTCCTCCTCCTACTGCCTCTCACTCTCTCTCCGCTCTCCTCTGTCTCCATTGGAGATGCACGCTCGTCCAGGCCCTGCCCCCTGGGTGTGTATATCACCTCCCCACCCCCCTTCTCCTCCCTCCGTGGTGCTAGGCTGATTTCTGCTCCACTCAGTCAGGCCGCTGCGTGGGAACAAGCAGCACAAATGGCCTCTCTTCTCCTCCTACTGCCTCGCTCTCTCTCTCTCTCTCTCAGCTCTCATCCATCTCCTGCCTCTCTCTCTGCCTCTCTCTCTTTCTCTTCTCCCCCTCCCGCTTTTTACTCTGTGTTTCTTTTCTCCTCCTACTGCTGCATCTCTTACTCTCTCTGGGTATGTCTACACTACAAAGTTAGTTCGAACTAACGTAACTTTAATAGGTGCTACACTAGCGCTCCGCTAGTTCGAATTTGAATCGAACTAGGGGAGCGCTTAGTTCGAACTAGGTAAACCTCATTTTACGAGGACTAACGCCTAGTTCGAACTAGCTAGTTCGAACTAGTAAAATGTCCTCGTAAAATGAGGTTTACCTAGTTCGAACTAAGCGCTCCGCTAGTTCGATTCAAATTCGAACTAGCGGAGCGCTAGTGTAGCACCTATTAAAGTTAGTTCGAACTAACGTCCGTTAGTTCGAACTAACTTTGTAGTGTAGACATACCCCAGGTGTATCCAAGTCAGCCGCTGCTGAAACTGATCAGGGGCTGATTCCAGGAAGCCGGGGCAGAGCAGTTCCAATGGTCCGGCTGCCCGGAGCACTTCCGGGTTCCTGATGGTGCCGGACCATCAGGAGTGCCGGACCATCAGATGCTGGACAATTGGAGTTTTACTGTAGACAGTTCTCATTCAGCATCACTTTCAGCATTCTAAAAGAACTGCTTTGCAATTTTGTTAAAAAAAACAACCAAGAATTCTTTTAGTTCACTGAATAGAAAACAAGAAGCTTCATGAAGTTTGGAAAGTTAATTTTGCAAGGAACAAAAGAAATGAAGAAAAACAGGGAAATTAACCCATTAGTACTTTTTATAGCCTAGACGTAGAATACATTTTAAGATGAGGTATTGTATTATAGAACTAATATGTTAAATTATAAAAAGATTCCTGAATAAAATAATTATACAGCTGAGTTTTATTAATGTCATCTTTTAAAGCCATATTTATCATCTCTCATACTATATAAGCACTGTCAGATATATTAGATGTATTGTAATTCTAATCTAGCTTTTAGCTATCATTCAAGAAAGCTTCTGGAGAAACTCTTCAAACTATTTATTGAAAAATATTTATTGAAAAATATTTATTTTTATAGGTTAGATGCTTTGAGATGTGTCTAGAATGATCATAAACCAAAGAATGTCAGCAAAATCAAAACTTCAAACACTGAATTCCACATGAAGAGCTGTTAAGAGCTAATTTGTAGAAACTTCCTCGTTGAAAAGACCCCACTTTTTTGTTAATGAACAAATGTTTTGTTTTAACATAGCAATAAGGGACAAATAAGAGGTGAACAGACCATGACGACTGCAGACAGGATACTCTACTTACTGATTTGGGGTTCCAGGTGGAGATCGTGATGGTAGGCTCTGTGTTTCTAATCTGTCATCAGTCAGTGAATTCCTACTTACTACCTCCCAGTCCATCCCACTCATCAATTTCCGTGCCAAGGGTTTGCTTGGGGATCTACAAGAATGAAGTAAATAACTGATTTGAAATTGTATCAGGATACTGAAAAATTACACAACAAAATTCTGGAAGTTCTCTCAAAAATCCGAAGATCATGGGAGGTGGAAAGATAAAGATAAGATTACATGGGGGAAAATATAGTACTTTCAATATGATTTTATCATGCTGTATTTCCTGTTTTTGCTACAAGAGAATTTACCTTTCCCTGCGTAATATAATAGCTACAAATGAATATTACTTTACATTTATTTATTTAAGTTAGTAAAACAATTAGGATGACATACTAGCTGGTATTAGTAGGATTTGCTAAGATGCTTTCCATAGAACTAAACATAGTAAGGTATTTGGTATAGATGTATTTCACACTAATGCACCTTGCTTTCAAGTTAGTGTAGTACAAAGATTTCGAATTTGGCACAAAAGTAAGTATAAAGTGCAAAACACTTTGATGTTCTGAAGAAAGCTATGGAAAACTAACAGATGGAAATCACAAAAACAGAAATTTTATAAACTAAACACAAAAATGTATCAAATTTTGAATTAGAAAAATGTGATGCTTCATTGCAGCTAAAAATCTGAACATTTAAAACAGAGTTAGAGGCACAACTTTTCACATTCACAAGTGTGTTTGAATCATTTTAAAAAGGAGTATATTTTAGGACTTCATGACATTGATAATTTTCACCTCTTTAAAACAATATTGCTCTAACTACCCAATCTTCAGATATTAAACTTTGAAAACATTCCTCCACTTTTTATAGGCAGTAACAGATGAAATAAAGGTGAATACAACTTTCTCTAAGATAAAAAAGCTCATGTTTTTTAATCTACAAACAGTGTCACTCAAGGAAAAAACTCACCTTATTTTTCTACACTCAGGTTCTGATCTCTTTGAATACTACTCTCTGCTACCATCATATACAATTGCACCAGCAATGTTTAACTTGAAATATTTTATTTTATTAACAGTTCTAGCATCAGTGTCACACCCACTTATGTTTGTTGCCTCCATTTCCTGTTCTTGTGGTAACTTTTTCTTCGAAATTTCCCCACTATAGCATGAGCTTTTCGATGGTGTGGCTTTTTGGTTTCTGACCCGAGTGCTAATTTTTAATCTCTATGTCTAACTCTACACAGTCTCTCTTTGGATAACTTTTAGGTATAATCTAAAATATTTTAAGTATTGATTTAGTTTTTCTTCTACATCACTTTAAGTGTTAAGATTATTCAAAATAACTTTCTAATGAGGGGAGGAAGTAAATCACCAAGCCATTCTGAATGATTGTATGGCCTTTGAAAGCTCCCTTAGAATTCTCAATCTAGATGCATCAGTGGATGAGTTTTCTTCTCTATTAAAAAGAATAGCCATCTGTAGTGAGGCAGAGTGGCCTCCCTCTAGACTTGAGAAAGAGACCTCTACGCTGGCCCCTGGTGGCTGGAGCCAGACCTGCCCTACCCCACTCACTGGAAGTACAAGGATGGGGCAGGAATCATAAAGAGAGGGCCCTGCAGCTCAGTTGGGCAGAAATCTCTGAAGGAAAACAGACCTTTCCAGTCTGCTGTCGACCACTATTACCTGACCCCACACAGTGCAGTGCCCTGCCTTTGGGGGCAGACCAACCCTAGGGAGAAGCTGCTGGAACCGTCATCAACATTGTGTCCTGAGGAGACAGAGGCCTCAGACTGAAGAATCCCCTCTTCAGAATGTGGTAGAAGTTCCTCCAGGAAGCCAGACATTAGTCCAATTTTGTTTCTGGGGCAGGGTTAGCCACTGACCCAGGGATGGCAGGTGGGGTGTTCCTGGGGTGTTGGCATTTGCCCCCATAAGCCAGAAAGCCTTTGCTTGGTTTGTGGCTTTTTGCCGCCACAAGCGTGTGAGCCTATAACTGTGTGTTTGCTGGCTGCCTTAGCCAAGAGGTTCAGGCTAAGTCCTACTCCCTGCTCTGTCCCATCCAAAAGGCAAGAAGCTAAGACTGTTAATTACTCCCAGCTAGAAGGCTGGGCCTAATCATTGCTCACAGCTGTGTCCCATCCAATGGGGTGAAAGCATCAGACTGCTGCTGCATGTTACTATGCAGCTACAGCTCAGCCCTGACAGTGAGACCTGAGCCCAAATGCTGCTGCCTGATACAGTAAACTGGGTTGGCCTCCCTTCCCACTTGAGAGCAAGGGACCACTACACCATTTAGCAATACACTCATTTTAAGATTTAATCCCATAGTCTAATCAATCTGCAGAATCAGAGATGCTACAAGGTCCACGGAGTTGGGAGAAGGCACTACCTGAACAGGAATAAGGACTGACTTTTATACCTGCCCAGCCAAACACATAGGCAGAGGTGGAGAAACTCAGTATGGTAGCACAGCATGGAGGAAAATTAATAGCCAAGAACATTCAGCGATGAAGACATTCATTATATACAGTAGACTTCCGATAATCCGGAACCTATGGGACCTAGGTGGTGCCAGATTATCAGATATGCCGGACTATCAGGAGGTACTGTAAGATGGTTATATATATACTGTATACATTACATACTGTATATAAAGTGTTCTTAACCCTTTTTATTGTACATACTGTATACTGTAATGTTTTAGTTTTTTTAAGCCTTTTTTACCCTTTTTGCTCAGTTCAGCTGCTGCCGCTGTTACCTTGTGACTCATTTTTTGCCGAAGCTCACTCACTCGGCTCTTGCTATTTTGATGCCAGACTATCAGGAGTGCCGGACTATTGGAGTTTTACTGTATTATAACTGAGGTGAAGCTATAAAGCTGCTACAACTATGGATGTTAAATTTAGTTTAATCAACTAATCGACTAGTCGATGGAATTTCCAGTAGGCTCTTAATACATTTAAAAAGCAGAGGTGCAGTGTCTAGGGTGGTCGAACTAATCGCTGACCAAGAGGCTGCCGAGGAGTGCCCTTGACTGAAACCCATATTGATACGACCACACACTCGTCCAGGGGGGAGAAATCTCCCCCCAGCAAAGAATGTCCAGTACTCCTAATTTAGCTCTCTCTCTCTTACAAGTGTAAATTATTTCAAACTCCCTTGTAAGAACTGGCACCACAGAACGGACCAGTACAATTTGGCATCTTAGATAAGAAAGAGGATACGGGCCCCTAGGGGGTATAAAGATGGGTCCAGCAGCACACACACTCTGAGCGTCAATCTACCATCTATCTGCTGGTCAGGTTAGGTGTTTGACCTCCCGAGGTTCCATGGGGACGCCCACCTCGTATTTGTCTTTCCGAGGAATTGAGGGACCGACCCTGGCCTGATCCTCTGGAGTCAAGAGGCACAGAAGGGGGTAAAAATTGTACCTGTATGTGTCCTTTGTTTAAGTATATACATAGTGTTAGATCTCTTTAAAGATTAAGCTATCACTTGGTACCATTATTTTCTATCCTCCTTTTTCCTTTGTAACCATTTTAAGATCTATATTTGCTAGCAGTTAAGAAGTAGAGCAATAGCCATTGTAACCACATGCTTTATAAGCCTTTTTAATAAACCTGTAACTGATTAAGTTTTAACCTGACTCCTTCAGTTGCTGTAACAGAACCAAGCACAATTTAAAAGAACTTCAACCGGTCATAAGGGACAGGTATAAGGGGAGCTTGAGCGTTGGATCGTGTCGCTTCCAGAGGACAGATCTATTGGGGCATCTCTCAGCCTCTCTGGCTGCCCACTGCGAAGGGATCATGTATCCTAGCAGTTAAAATCTGAGATGTAATAAGCTCTTCCTATAAACTCTGGGATGTCTGTCAGCCTGTTGGCTGCCCTCCGCGACGGGACTCCGGTCCTAGTGGTAAAAGACATGGACGTTAAATTCTGGGGCGTCTGTCAGCCTATTGGCTGCCCTCCACGACGGGACTCCGGTCCTAGCGGTAAAAGACACGGACGTTAAACTTTTCGGGGCGCCCTTCAGCCTCCTAGGCTGCCCACTGCGACGGAACCTTGTGTCTCAGCAGTTAAAGACTTGCGTGTGAGTCTCACACACACACACACACACACACACACACACACACACACACACACACACACACACACACACCCCTGACCATCAGCTGACAGGGTGGCAATGAAAGTGCTCAAGTTAGCACCATGCATAGGCTTGGTACATCAAACAGGATCAGAGGATAATGGGTGCTGTCTGTCTGTGGTGGGATTCATCTGTTTCATAGCTGAAGAGTTTTTGATTGTCACAAGGAAGGCCCTCAAGTGTGGTTTGGACTTCCTTTGGGAAACAAACTACTGGATTTAAACAGGAGTCACATTGGTGAACTAGTCTAAAATCCAGGGAATGGGACATAGTATTAGTGGCATTGACTGCTGCCTGAAGGTGACTAACTTTGTTCTCATCCAGATGGCACTAATGTCCTATATAGTGGGGGCAGGAAGACTTGAAATTCCTCATTTTGTGTAGGACAAGAAGTCCTATTTTGCCAGAATGATCTGGTAACCAGCAATGTGGAATTGTAGACAATCAGAGGAACAGACCTTGTGGCCAATGAGGTCAAGGTTTTTCCGGCTCAGTCTGAGCAAGTGAAATGGAGGTATTCCTGGTAAACACAATCTGTGGTTGCCCAGACTACCAAGGAGGTTGGAGGTGGGAGGGAACAAGAAGTTCCCTTAGCTAGAACAAAATACCTGCACTTGGCCTGTTTTTTGAGTGGGGGTGCAGGAGGCTGTGATGGACCAAACTGCTTGTGCCAGCTGGAGAATGCTATCATGTATGGGCAATGCGGTTCAGGAGTGCCCAGCAGGCTGCAAAATGTCTAAGAATGGATTGTGGCGGTCCTTGACCTTTTCCACGGGGACAATGAGCACCATTGTCATATGATGGAAAAGGCTCTGGTATTGGACATGGTCCTCCAGAGGAGAGTGTACAGGTGAGATGATGGCATCATGAGGAGACAAATAAGCCCCCGTCAGGTCTGAGGGAGCTGTCAGTACAGGACAGAGAGTGCTGGAAAAGTGGGGACTTTGCAGGGAT